AGCTGATAAAAATGACACAGTCCAACAGTTCCTGTTTGTATTGGCCTGGTTGGTTGCGAAGTGACATCTAGTGGCATGCGACATTTCAAAAGTGGATTATATATAATAATAATCCACTTTATATATATATATATATATATATATATATATATATATATATATATATATATATATATATATATATATATATATATATATATATATATATATATATATATATATATATATATATATATATATCGGTGGACGCCCCTGCAGCATCTGTGATTTCTCAAGCAGCTCGTCCCAACAAAGCACAGTAAGTATTTAACTCAGGAGGCTGCAGCTTCTGCTCAGGCCAGACTGTGGTTAACCATCACTCTTTTAAACAAATCAAATAATCATGTGAATTGTACCTCTTAGAGGTGATGGAGTTGGAGTTATGCCATTGTCCCCACTTTCTTAGTGCTTGACCCTTGGCTCTTTGTCAACTCACAGTTCAAATGCTTCTGTGAATGAATAAATTAATGGAAGTGAGAAGAAAATTCATAAATTGCTACAGCAACCTCAGGAGCATAACCATCATTGCCTACATTCAAAACCTTCTGTGGAGTAATGGGTTAAAGGTAAATATTTAATTTAAAAACAGGTCTATGTATATCAGAGTAGTCTAGATAACATCTCACATTCATCTCACACAGAGACAGAGAGTTGTGTGTATGTAAGAGAATTAGGGCCTCAGCTGTCTTCTGTTATATTATCCAGCAGCGACAGCTCAGTAGGGAGATGTACATATTCAGAAAAACCCATTCAGTCCCCGCTACTGCTACTGCCATTGTGCTCTCCTGAAAGGCACATCAACATGGTGTGCTATGCTTGTATAACTTGTAAATCTAACATAAACATACATATAAATGTACTTTAACCTTGTCTTACCTTGCCCCCTATAAATACCTGTTCCCTGAATTTTTTTTTCTTCTGCTGTGAGAAAGCGTCAGAGGGCCAACGACAACAAGAGTCTCCTTTGGATAGAGAGTGTATGTGGTGGTGAGTTAGGTGTGATACCAGCTCTCAGCATCAATAGGGCCAACATAAACACACACCAAGAGTGGCTCAAATAAAGCCTCAAACTTACTGTAAAGACGCCATTAGTGAGGTGTTGAAATTGTCACTTTCTATGGGTTTTGTTTAAAGTCCCTCCCAAAACATTCAAAACGCAAAACTTAATTCTGTGGGCATACAAGAAAATCCTGTGTGGTGCAATGGCATTACAACATCCCTAACCTTACATTTTTCTGGTCATTATCTCATACACTGGTTTTCTGTTTTTTAGTTAAGCTGTAAAACCATGTAGTCATTGAATAGTCTTAGAAAAGGTGTAAAGTAGCATTTAAGGCACACCATTTACTCTAGAAACCAGGCTGAAGACCAAGCCTTAACAACTTAAAACCAAACATAAAATTTTACATCTATATGATCCAACTTAAGCTATTATCTACTATAATACTGCTTTCATTTTAACATATTAATCCAGCCATATAGGGAAACAGGAAAAACAGTCACATAGCAGCCCCAAAATCTGCAGTATTTTTTTCACTCATTCATAGCTGCAATGGTGTTACAGTAACAGGCTCCACTCAAGTTTTATTGCACCGACTGGAGCTGTGATTTAACATGGTCTGAACTCATTACTATTTTCACTTCTTTCTCATATTTCCATGTGTGCATGTATCCTAAAGTAAATATCCCTTGATTAACGAGTAAGTCCGTACCCCAGACTCCTTTGACAGTTATAAGCTTGATACTGACCCATGCTACTTGATTTACAGAGTTGACTTTGGTCAAAGTGTTGTGACCCACAGCTCTACTGTCGCATCAGGGTGGTCATGCTCACTGCCATTTTTACAGGACATGAAGTGAGTGTGGGGTTACAGAGTCATGCAGGGGTGACTCCCCTCCCCTGCCCTCTCATGGCCCACTGCCCCTCTAGACTCTGGTTGCTGGTTCATGCTGTAAATGTCATCCTAGTTACACCCTCTGTCCCTCCCCCTGACAGACTGCTCTTTATTAAGCATGCTTTTAAAAGGCCCATAGGAATTGACCTTTCTCTGTTTTTCTGTCCCATTATAAATACCAGACTACTGCATGTCTAGAGAAGTCTGTTTAGCTGTGCTTTTAAATTATAGCACTTAAATTTATATATGGGCTGTAGGTTAAACAACCATGCAGTTCATAGTATAATAGCAATATACAGCATATTTAAATCAGAACTATATTACTATCACTTAATCCACTTAGGGCGGCAAAAATAACCCAAAATGTGGAAAATTTGAACAAAAATAAAAGAAAAACATAGGCCTTAACTGTGTAATTTATTGACAGAAATATTAGCAGTTTGTCACTTGGCAAGCTATAGACACTTCTTCAGGCATATTTAATTGCTCTTAGTAGACTAAACTGTGGTTTAAAATATATGTTGATACCCCTGATGATGATATATATATATATATATATATATATATATATATATATATATATATATATATATATATATTGTTGTCTTGATCATACATCTCCAGTGAAGTAAAGAATCTGGTTGTCATTATTTTTCCTTTGCCACAGTACTGGCAGAAAGTAATTAGTGAACTTGGTGGCACAATTAGCACTCCTGTAGCAATAACCATGTAAACTCCAGCCATTTTCCCCCTCCATCCGTTCCCACGCCAGCCGAGAGACATAGTCCCTCCAGCCTGCCCTGGGTCTTCCCCGGGGCCTCCTCCTGGTGGGACATGCCCTGGGGAGGCACCCAGGAGGCATCTGGAACAGATGCCCGAGCCACCTCAACTGGGTCCTCTCGACATGGAGGAGCACCGACTCTACTCCGAGCTCCTCCCGTGTGATTGAGCTCCTCACCCTATCTCTAAGGGAGCGCCCAGCCACCCTGAGAAGGAAACTTATTTTTAGCACTTGTAACCGCAATCTTGTCCTTTTGGTCATTACCCAGAGCTCATGATCATAGGTGAGAGTAGGAACGAAAATTGACCGGTAAATCGAGAGCTTCGCCTTTCGACTCAGCTCCCTCTTCACCACAACAGAGACAGCATCACTGCAGATGCTGCACCGTTCCACCTGTCAATCTCATCCTCTGTCCTCCCCTCACTCGTGAACAAGACCCCGAGATACTTAAACTCCTCCACTTAAGGCAGGGACTCTCCACCCAGCCGGAGAGGGCAAGCCACCTTTTTCCGGTCAAGAACCATGGCCTCGGACTTGGAAGAGCTGATTCTCATCCCAGCCACTTCACACTCACACACATTGCAGGTCCTGGCCTGATGAAGCCAACAGGACAACATCATCTGTGAACAGCAGAGATGAGATCCTGTGGTCCCCAAACCGGCCCCCCTCCGGCTCCTGACTGCGCCTAGAAATTCTGTCCATAAATACAATGAACAGAACCGGTGACAAAGGGCAGCCCTGGCAGAGTCCAACATGCACCGGGAACAGGTCTGTCTTACTGCCGGCAATGAGAACACAGCTTCTGCTCCAGTCATACAGGGACCGGACAGCCCTTAGCAAAGGGCCCCGGACCCCATACTCCCAGAGCACCCCCCACAGGACACCACGAGGGACACGGTCGAATGCCTTCTCCAGATCGACAAAGCACATGCGGACTGGTTGGGCAAACTCCCATGAATCCTCAAGCACCCGATGGAAAGTGTAGAGCTGGTCCAGTGTTCCACGGCCAGGACAAAAATCACACTGCTCCTCCTGAATCCGGGGTTCGACTATCGGCCAGATTCTCCTCTCCAGTACCGGCATAGACCTTACCGGGAAGGCTGAGAAGTGTGATTCCCCTGTAGTTGGAACACACTCTCCGGTCCCCCTTCTTATACAGAGGGACCACCACCCCGGTTTGCCAGTCCAGAGGTACTGTCCCCGACCGCCACGCGATGTTGAAGAGGCGTGTCAGCCAAGACAGCCCTGCAACATCCAGAGACTTAAGGACGGATCTCATCCACCCGGAGCTTTGCCACTAAGGAGCTTGCCAACCACCTCAGTAACTTCAGCCAGTTTGATGGACGAGTCCGCCTCTGAGTCCCCAGTCTTGGCTTCCTCCTCAGAAGACGTGATGGTGGGATTGAGGAGATCCTCAAAGTATTCCCTCCACCACCGGACAACGTCCCCAGTCGAGGTCAACAGCTGTCCCTCCGCGCTGTAAACAGTGTTGGTGAAGAACTGCTTCCCACTCCTGAGGTGCCGGACGGTTTGCCAGAATTTCCTTTAGGCCATCCAATAGTCCTCCTCCATGGCCTCCCCAAACTCCTCCCAGCTCCAAGTTTTTGCCTCTGCGACCGCACCGGCTGCAGTGCGCTTGGCCTGCCAGTACCCATCAGCTGCCTCAGGAGTCCCACGAGCAAAAAAGGCCCGATACGACTCCTTCTTCAGTTTGACGGCATCCCTTACTTCCGGTGTCCAGCCTCCCTCGGAATCCGGGAGAAGTCCTCCCGGAGGTGCGAGTTGAAGGTCCCTCTGACAGAGGGCTCCGCCAGACGTTCCCAACAGACCCTCACTACATGCCTGGGCCTGCCAGGTCTTTCCGGCTTCCTCCTCCGCCAGCGAACCCAACTCACAACCAAGTGGTGATCAGTTGACAGCTCAGCCCCTCTCTTCACCCGAGTGTACAAGACATGTGGCCAGAGGTCAGATGACACGACTACGAAGTCGATCATCGACCTCCGGCCAAGGGCATCCTGGTGCCATGTGCACTGATGCACACCCTTGTGCTTGAACATTGTGTTCATTATAGACAAATTGTGACTAGCACAGAAGTCCAATAACAGAACACCGCTCGGGTTCAGATCAGGGAGGCTGTTCCTCCCAATCACCCCTCTCCAAGTGTCACTGTCGTTGCCCACATGGGCGCTGAAGTCTCCCAGTAGAACAACGGAGTCCCTGTTTGGTGCATGTCAGGGAATTGACCCCGACCTCAAATATTAAAGAACACGCCAGGGACACAGTGGTTGGTTTTACTTGTGCAAGGAGTAAGAGAGAGCTCTGCCTGTCGCAAGGAGTAGGAGAGAGCTGCCTGTCTCATCCTAACTGAAGCTCTCTTCTCTCCATCGGCCTTTTATTGTAGAGCACACAATTAGCATACAGTAGGTTACTTTGAATACAGTACCTATTGTTCACATGTTGTCTCATGACTGACAAGCTTCCACTGACACAGCTCCCCATTATACACAGGTTTCACATTCCAGGTGGTAGATGCCTCTAGCAATTCCTCAGAGTTCTGTGTTAACCTCATGATGTTTACCATTACTATTTGTTTCTCCCGGTACATTATCTTTAATGAGTCAGCCAATGCATCAGCAAGATCACCTGATACAGCTTGAACACAACAAGACAAGTAAAACAAAAAGCCAATGTTGATAACTTATACTACATCATGATTACCTTTACATGAGAAATGCTTATAACATAAAAATTCTCTAACAGTGCACTGTCCAGTACCCCTCCCAGGGACTCCAAGAAGGTCGGGTACTCTGCACTGCTGTTCAACCCGTAGGTTGACACTACAGTGAGAGACCTGTCCCCGACCTGAAGGCCAGGGACGTGGCCCTCTCGTTCACTGGGATGAACTCCAACACACAGCGGCTGAGCTGTGGGGCAATGAGCAGGCCCATACCAGCCCGCCACTGCTCCCAGTGGCCAACACCAGAGAAATGTAGAGTCCAGTCCCTCTCAAGGAGTTGGGTTCCAGAGCCCAAACTGTGCGTGGAGGTGAGGCCGACTATATCTAGTCGTAACGCTCAACCACCCGCACAAGCTCAGACTCCTTCCCCCCCAGCGAGGTGACATTCCATGTCCCCAAAGCTAGTCTCCATGTCCAGAGATCCGGTCGCCGAGGCCCGCGCCGTTGACTGCCCCGTGAGGACGGCCCCACGTCGCTCCTTCAGGCTGAGCCCGGCTGTGCCCCTTGGGGTTAGGCCTAGCCACCAGGCACTCGCTGGCGAGCAACCATCCCAGGCCTGGGTCCAGGGTGGGGCCCCGGTAAAGCCGATCCTGGTGACGTCACTGACCTCTGATTGTAACTCATCATAGGGGGATTCTGAACCGCTCTTCGTCTAACCCGTCCCCCAGGACCTGTTTGCTTTGGGTGACCCTACCAGGGGCATGAAGCTCCCGGGATCATTCGGGCACTCAAACTTCTCCACCACGATAAGGTGGCAGTTCAGGGAGGAGGCCAGCCATTTTCTCTAACATTAAAATACCTCAACATCCATTCGTTCAAGTCACAATGGTGCACATAATTTGCAAAAGGCATAAAGAAAGATAATTATGTTTTTCTTCTGACAGTTTGAAGGTACACTGCATAACGTCTCAGATGAAGGATCCACAATGTGCTTGTCTTCAGGCATTGTTGATTTGCCTAGAATACTGTCTATTAAACAGCATTCAACTAATATCTCATTTAAGTATGATAATGGTATTTTTGAGCATTCTAGGCAAAAAAATTAAATCTCCATGGAGACAAGCAGGTGGCGGGCTCTCCACCAGTAAAGTTACAAACTCGCTGTACACTATAATTTTAAAAGGAATTCACTCATCTTAACTTTTAGGCTTAGCCTGACACATTCATGCTTATGATGCATGGCCCCATATTGTGTAGAGGTTATGGAGTCCTGGTCTGATGGTGATGACAACATGATTAATGGTCCCATGTACTCTCTCTCATAGTCCACACTGCAGCTCTAAGTGGCCTGGAGAGAAGCTGAGGAAAGCTGCTTGTAGGGGAATAGAACAGCCCCTGTGTGCATAAAGATAAGAGGCTGTTTACAGTACGACATGGACACTTTGTTTACACTGGGAAATATTAAGAAAACACAAACAAGTAAGCTTTGGTTTGAGATTAATGATGAAGGGTCTGGTTTTATTGATCAATGAGCTCTCTGAAATCCTCTAAACTTACTGCAAAAATAGTATTTGAAATGTAAACAGTAGTAATTTTAGGTTACATAAATTATAATTAATTTGCGGGTGTTTTATACATGTTCCATATCTTTAGTAAGGACTCCTTTCAGCTACATGTACTCATTAGTGAGGCGTGGAAAGAGGGGCATTTGAACCAAACATTGAAACGCAAAACAATTTAATTTGTTTAATTCGGTGGTATTAAATTTTCTAGTAATCTAAAGTGCTACAGTCATGTGAAGGAATGCCTATAAAACCATTTTTGTTGACTATCTTCATTAATCTTCTGTACACTGCTATAAAGCCCCCAGTATGGAGAAAGAAGGGGCTGTGTGCCATGGGGTCAGTCAGAGTAAGAGGAAACTGGGCCTGGCACCTCAGCTCACAACAAACTGCTGCCAACACAAGCTGTCCGCACACCGCTCCATCCTGAAGGAGAGGACCTCTGCTCTGCCAACTCCCAAAGTGAGGAGAGGTTCAGGAAAAGCATAGATTTGCACAGACCAAAATTATTATTTTTATTTTATTATGACATTCTGTACCTTTCAACCTAACCACCAAAATTATCCACATACAATGTACTTGATATTTCTTGCATGACCAGAGATTTTGCCAAAACAGGTGAAATTATTTATATTTCGCAAGCATAATTTGTAGGACAGTGTAAAGCTTTCACATAGTGTTCAATAGATAAAACTAAATGTTATGTAAAGGGGGAAATTTGAATTATTTGAGTAATGGATTACATGAATTTACTAATACTATTATTAAAGAATTATTTTAAGTTAATTACTTATAGATTGAAGACACAGTGTATAGCAAGTTATTGTTTTTCATAGTTACTGGTTAAAACAAAATGTCATGTTATGTTTATGTAGCATGAAACATTTATTTTACAAATCCATGAGCTTTACAGTCACACAGTGAGTTGGAAGTGTATTCTGTGTGTATGTCCCGAGCCTACAGACAAGCACTATATACCACCATCCCAAACCAATATGGAGAAAGGCAAATGTAACCATATTTTCTTACCATTTACACAAAGAGCTTATTAAAGCAGGTGTTACAGTATGGCTTGCCTTTCTGGTCTTTAAAGATTCCCTGGCTGAGCTGGCGCCGGCAGAAAGCACACACAAAGTGCTCTGGATGAAACTTGCGGGACAGTGCAGAGATGCAGCGTCCGGTGATAGGCTCTCCACAGGTGCCACACAGAGAGCCCTGTCGAGAGTGGTAGTGCAGCAGACACAAGGCTTGCCCCTCCAGCCCTAAGAAGTGTCCACTGGAGAGTGGTGTCAGACAGTCCTGTGAAGAAGGGAACATGCAGATGTATGAGGTGACATAAAAAAGAAAATAAATGGGTAAGTAAACCAATCAGGCACAAAGCTGTGTGAGTAAATCCAACCACGGATCTTTTAGATCAGGAGGCAGAGCAACACATTTTGTTGCATGAGGCAGGTTAACAACATAGCCAAAAAGAGGTTGGTGGATCAGAGTATGTAATTAAACAGGACAGTGAGTAGAAAAGAGAAAAAACACATGTGGAAAAGCACCTGGTAATTTTGGTCTCTTTTATGGACCCTGCTGTTTGACTAATGTTGCAGATGTAGACATGTAGTTAAAATTTTCATTTGGCAATTTTTTTATATGTCATATACCAATAAAAGCACAGGTGAAAATATTAAAACTAGGGATATTTTTCTTCTTCTTTTAACTTCTTTTTATTTTGCCTTAAGACTATGCCAATGTGAACATTCCCAAATCCTATTGGCTTGAAGTGGAAACACTTCAAATTATGACATCACCAAAATTCAGGCCAGGTTTAGTGTTCTTTTTAATTAATATGCTGGGGATTCTTATGCAACTTTGCCAACTAATAGTTGGCAACAGTTGCTCAGGTGATCAAATGGTCATGTTATGACAGTTGGCAATTCAATCCCAGCTCTAACCATACTGTAGTTGTGTCCATGGGCAGGACACAATATTGAGACAAAGTGAGTGAAGTGGAAGATGAATAAGTGATTGGCTTCTCTGACCAAAATAACAGTACTTTAAGAACTGTGTGAACTCAAACACATTGATCACTCCTGCAGGTTCCTTTTGCCAGTCAAATGTTTTGAATAAATCTTTTCTTGGTGTGAAATGTGTGTGGTCCTATGGTAGTGCTCACAGAGCAGACAAAGCACTCGGGATGCCAGGTCCCATTGGCCGCAGTCAGGTAGTTCTCCCTCACTGCTTCTCCACACCCAGAGCACTTAGGAGCAAAGAGATTGTAAAAATCTTTGCAGCAATATGGCTTCCCCTCCTTCTCCAGGAAACCTGTAATAAAAATGTTACAATGTGTGTATAGTTCTGTTGGTTATTGTTTTTGTACAAAAGAAAATAAAAGACAAACCAACCGTCAGGTCCAAAAAGGTCTCCACAGTGTGAGCAGAAAAAGTGCTCTGGATGCCATGTCTGATCCAGTGCAGTCAGGATGTTCTTCAAATTCACATAAATGCAATCAGAATTACATGAAAAGCATATAAACAAAACAACAAGGTCACTAATAAAAGAGCATGATCTGATAAAAAAAAAATTAACTCACCTGCAGAATGGGGCCTTTGCAGTATGCACATCGAGGAGAGAACTGTTCATGATAATCTTTTGCACAGTATGGCCACCCCTCTCTTTCAAAGAAACTTGTTGTGCACAGGTCCACCTTACACACTGCACACACAAAATGCTCCGGGTGCCATGTTTCTCCTAGTGCTGTGATTATCTGCATCATCAACAATTATTTGCCTTATTGTTTAATCAATGAGAACTGTCAATTACAAAGCTCTAGTGAGCCATCATTTACCTTTCCCACAATGATCTTTTTACAGGCAGCGCAGTGGCCTTTTGCTGTGGTCTTGACACCTATCTTCTCTAAGTCTGAGCTCAGGCCTCCCAGGAGCTCATCTATTGTGTCTGTGCTTTTAGATGGAGTTGGCTGAACGTTACTGTTTTCTCTGTGCATTGTTTCTTCTTTTCTTTTTACAGACAGTTTTGGTACAAGTGGAGGTGGGCTTTCTTTTGGTTCTTGATGCTATTCAGGCAATGATGAGATGAGGACAGAATTAAATGGCTGTGGTCAAGAAGAATATTTTTCAAAATTATTCAGAATTACTCTTGCTATTGCCATAATTGTAATTTCTTCCATTAATACAGGTAACTTTAAGGTCATTCTTATCTCTCTCTCTCTCTCTCTCTCTCTCTCTCGAGGTTAAAGGTAATGTCTTAGTGCCACCTGTTGGCCATTTTAATTATCGAAAAAACTGTATGAGCGCAAACTATACTAGTATATATATAGACCTGCTTATACAAAAGGCTGTTGTTTACCTGAGCTGCCAGACCCAAGAGATCTTCCAAGATGAACTCCAGTTCTTCAGTTGGGGACATAGCTCTTTGTGTTGCAGCCACAGGGGCAGGAGGTGAGCTGACAATAATATAATATATATATATATATATATATATATATATATATATATATATATATATATATATATATATATATATATATATATATATATATATATATATATATATATATATATATATATATATATATATATATATATATATATATACACACATACACACTATATATATATATATATATATATATATATATATATATATATATATATATATATATATATATGTGTGTGTGTGTGTGTGCGTGTGTATAATCACTAAAATCTGTCAACCCATAAGTATAATGCTGAAGTAAAACTTTCAACTTTGATTAAAATTGCATAAAAATTATTTACCTGTATACATTTGAACAGCTAGAGGTGTTGACATTTTTAGTATGTTCAGCAAGGTTTTCTGTGGATATCTAGTGCCACAAAAAAAAAAATTGTATTTGAGGAAATATATAAAGACTATATGTTATAAATTCTTACGTTACCTTTTCTTTGCTTCCTGCACCAGATGTGTTCAAGGCCAGTTCTTCCAGTAACAAGTCTATTCACAGAAAACACCATATTAAATAGTATAAACTGATGCAATTAGAAATGTTCACATGGAAAGATCTTGTTTAATTTATTGTAATTTATTGTGATTTAATTAGATCTTTGCGCATGTCAGCTTTTGAGTCATACTCAGGAAACATGTTGCAGAAGTAAAACTGGGCTGTCAGTGACCAAATTTCACGCACTGGTTATATTTTCATCGAAAATCAGGACAATGAAACACAAACATTGAACATTTCGGATTTTACGTGTATAGGTTATTAGTCTATAAATGAAATTAAATAAATTGCTAATAAAATACACCTGTATCTTTGTTCATCATGGGTCTTCTCTGTGGTGTATAGTTAATTTTACCATAAATATTTACTTAAGTAACACGAGCAACTGTTTTAGTTCAATTGAATAATTGTATTATGACCATTAACACATTTTCTATATGAACCAACTGCCTGAATACATTATATAATATATTTTGTACTAGATACCTAGGCTACTAGTATAGTAGCCAAGGTATCATTAATAAAGAAAAGTGTCTTACCAAGTTCATCCATAGCTGCATTCCTTCACCATAAAAACGATGGTGAGTGAACGTTTTTGTTAGTTACTGAGCTAGTTACTTAAGTTGCTCCAATTTGAATCAGATAAACTGTCACTTCCTCTGAGGGAGGATGTTGTTTCCAAATCTGTATTTCATGTGACCTTTTTTGAGTTTCCTGTGTGTCAAACCACAACTATGTCATGAAAGTTACAATTTTCAGCGTATATATGGATCCCTTTATGAGCCTCCAAGATATGAAATTAGATTTTCTTAAATTAAACCATAGCTGCTCTATATAATTATTAAGCTATTTACTAGTCTTTTTATTTAGGTTTAGTTAAACAAAACTCCACAAAATGTTTAAAAACAAAACATGGGTATTATTGTAGCCTAATAATAAACAGAACAACTGTAACTATCGACTATTTTAAATTAGATCGTGCATCTGCATGATGATAGGGTAATAAAAGGGCAGTTACCTGCCTTGTCGCACCACTACAGGATCAACCATTAACAGAATCAAGCAGGTTTTTTTTTTTTTTAAGTTAGTATATAGTAACGGAGTGAGTGCACGTTTACAAAATATATTTATTGTCACTAAAGAAAAAGAAAAAATAGCATAATAAAAGTGAATACATAAATAATGTGTCATTGTTCGAAAATGTTTCTGCTTGTTTTTCGACAGCGGCACTCCACCCCTCACCACATGGTTTGGTCCTGCCCGGAAAGATTTGTGTTTACAGCCTAGCTTCCACTTTAGGTTAGCGTTCGTTGTTTTACCCATATTAATGTGTTTTATACATTAAAACGATGCCATTTTGAGGACTCTTCTCGGACATATGTATGCGATATCACTAACATGTCTTTGTTGATAAAAAAGGGCGATTGGCAAGTTTAGCTATGACAGCTGGCTAACGTAGCTTGAGGTTAGCCAGCAACTACGAACACGGGCTAACTTCTACAGTCGTGGCACAGTGATTATATTGAGGTATTGTTTGGTCAAGTTTGACTTATATAATGACATTTATTTACATGTTGAGTGAATGTCAACGCCACCTCGTTTTATGTTTAATTTCAGTGTGTGTGGATGTCCAGGTCTTGAGTGAAGGAGCACGGCCATGGGAGCGGAGAGCAGCGCGGTGCGGAATTGCAAACTGGAAGAGCCGCTTCTGACTTTCCCCTCTGGTCCGACCATGTATTCCGCTGTGCTCCAGGATAACAAGCCCGCCTCTGTGTTTGTCCACAAGAGAGGAAGCGAAGACAAAGTCAATAAAGCTGCCAAGGTACAGTAAATTCATTTTGCATTTATAACACTGTTAGTGTTGAGGAAAATAATTAATAATGATAACAATACAAATGTCTTATATTGTTCTTTCATTCCTTACACTCAGGGTGGTGTCAAGGTCCTCAGGTACACACAAAACTAAAAACTCAAGCTCATTTTACATTTATATATAAGCATGGTAGGTGAAGTGTCTTGCCCAAAGACAGCTGTCGAAGTTGAGTTTGAATTGCCAATATTCAAATAAAGATGACTAATTCTACACCTAGGGCTTTCCTCATATTGACTGATCACAATTTTTTATTTTGTCTTGTACAAAAAACAAATAGAAATGGCCTTCAATAGAGGTGTGCCTGTGGACCCCTTGATTCAAAGGACCATGGCATATCTTTGATGATCTGAAAGGACTGTATCTCAATCTCTTTCTTAAAATTAAATTATTGCACAGCGCTAACTCCACCATCCTTTGCTAAAAGTTATAACTGTACTTTTTTGTTCTTGCAGCACCTGAAGACCCTGAGGCATCCGTGTCTGCTGCGGTTTCTGTCCTGCTCCGTTCAGAACGGAGGGATCCATCTGGTCACTGAGCGTGTACAACCACTGGAGTTACTGCTGGACAGCCTTTCTGCTGAGGAAATATGTGCAGGGCTTTATGATATTCTGCAGGCACTAGTGTTTTTACATGAAAGGGTAAGATGAATCAAAGCTCTCACAAACCTGTAGTTTACAATATAATGAAGTTTTGCACTGATTTTTTTAAGGGCAAATTGAGTCACAACAATATATGCAGGTCATCCGTCTTTGTCAGTGAAGATGGTCATTGGAAGTTGGGTGGAATGGAAACTGTGTGCACATTTTCTGAAGCAACTCCTGAAGTACAAAGAACAATTACAAATCTTTTTATCTGCTGTTAGTTGCTGACTGTGGTTAGATTGTAGCTTTCACCTTTTGTCCATTTTCAGTTTCTTTCAGCTATAAAAAATGTTAGAGATGACAGTTGTGTTCCACCAGAGGAACAGGTAATTTAGTTTTTGTTTTTTTTTAGATGCATTTTTCATTATTTGTATTACACTTTCCTTGAACCGTCATATTGTACAACAGGTTGAAGGTTTTGCCATGCTTCCTGAAGAATATGCTCATTCCAGAGACTGTTACTCTTTTGGGGTACTGGTTGAGACCCTTGTCCCTTTGCTGGATAGTTATGGTAAGCAGGGCCTACTTCATTGGTATCAGTATATGAGATGGAATTATTGTAACATTAATATCTTTCTAATACAGTAACACAAGACCTAGTAGACAGTTTAAAAAAGTCTTTGCTTGCTGGTCCACTAAATACAGACCCATCATGTAGGCCACCACTCACCTCTCTGCTCACACATGATTTCTTCAGGTGTGTGTCACTTTTTTCACTTTTATCCAATTTTATAGTCACCATAGCTTTAGGCAAATTTTGTTGTTTTTTCTATATGTAGAAATGACTTTCTGGAAGTGATAAACTTTTTGAAGAGTTTGACTTTAAAGACAGAAGAAGAGAAGAATGAATTCTTCAAGTAAGAGACTTGTTTTATTTGGTTTAATTCAAGCTTGGGAGCTAATAAACAAAGTGTGATATTTTTGTTTTTGCAGATTTTTACTAGACCGGATCCAGAGCCTTCCTGAGGAGCTCATAGCCTCTCGCCTTGTCCCTGAACTGCTCACCTCTCTCGTTTTAGCAGAACCCATGGCAGTCAGGAGTTTCCTCCCTCATCTTCTAAAGCCAAAGACAGGTAAATCAATCTGACATTAATATTATTCATCCAGTTATTGTCAGTTTTTGTGTTACTGTAAAACTCCTTGACAGAATCCAGTGGCAGTGACAGCTCAGAGGAGTGCCTGCTTTCTCTGCCCCTTTATCGAAAACATGTGATTCCTCAACTTCTGAAGCTTTTTAAAGTCAAGGAGGAACACATTAGGATGGTGCTTCTGGCCCATATCCACATCTACTCTGAGTTCTTTTCCCAAGACGAACTTAAAAACCAGATCCTACCTCAGGTATTATGAATAATTAATATATTTTTACAGAGTACTTTGTAACTAAATCATAAGGGCTTGTCTTTTGAACTTTGAAATGTTTAAAGGTGCTGCTTGTGCTTATACCTGCAGGTCTTGCTGGGAATGAGGGACACCAATGATTCCCTGGTTGCAATGACACTGCAGGGTCTGGCTGTGCTGGTGCCACTACTTGGAGCTCAAGTTGTTGTTGGAGGAGAAAGAAACAAGGTCTTTAAACGCACTACCCCCAACTTCAGCAAGTCAACTGAAGTCACCCCTGAAAGTAAGTATTTGACCTGATGACCCCACAATATTTCAAAGCTGTTTTTCCAAATATATATTGTATCTGTTTGTAGATTCACCTGTACACAATGTTGGAGTCTGTCAGCCACAAATAGCCCAGCCAGCAAAAGTCTTGAATTTGTTTGCCAAATCTTCATTAGAGGAAGTCTCTTCAAAAGTTTATCCCCTGCCATTTAAATCAGGTACTAAACTATAATGCTTTAACATAATTTAACTTGCTTTATAATAAATTAATCCCTATGGGTATGCATATCTCTTAGAGGTCAGTAGGCAGCTGTCCCTTCCACTGAATGGATTTCACCACAACTCTGAAGTGGAGTCGCAATCATACCATCCAGAGCAGCCCAGCAGAGCAGAGAGGCCAGTGGAGGACTGGCCTGACTGGAGTGACCCTGAGGACACAGACATTGGAGAGGGCAAACCGGTTAGGATCCAGATTGAGTCTTCTACTGGAGTAGCCCCAGACAGCAGCAGGGTCCCCGCACACAGCACAGAGGAGCCATGGGAGGACTTTGAAGACACTGAACCTACACCAGATCTATCTCCAACTGCTCCTGTCCCAGACACTCTTACATTAGATCAACCCAAATCAGTGAATACTACACCTACAAAATATAAACCATCTTCAAAACCCCTAAAGCTTGCATCCACCTTACAACAAACCACTCAGAGCAATGACCACTCCTCATGGGATAATAGCTGGACTCAGACAGAGTATTCAAGCAAGCCATCCAACCCCAAGCTAAAAAGTGGTAGTGTGGGAGGGTTGGGAGAAGAATTCACAATCAAGGTGAAAAGAAAAGTAGAGCAGGACCCTGAGCTGGACTTATTTGCAGATATGGTGCCAGACATCAAACTTTCATCTCCAGCTATGCTCACAGAGGAGATCAGTGGACTGTCCAAATCTGTGAGTGAAAACTCCAAGCCACTAGACCAAGATTTATCTGGTGATACTTTCAATGCCAAGTTTGCTGCCGTCAGTACGACTGAGGTGAGAATGTGGGAAGGGCTAGGAATCAATACTTGTACTTTATGGGCAGTAACTAAAACACTGAGATTAGATAAATAGGATAAAGATTTGTCAATTTAATCCAAATGAACCATTTTATATTTTTCATTTTCCTCAGAATGATGCTGATGGTTGGGTCGATGATGATGACTTGAACTGGGAGGATGAAAATGCCTGGTGAATCCAAAGGCAGTGAAGACAAGAAGGGATTTATATAATTTCAACATTACCAGCTATATTCAAGGATAATAAGCATTTTGTAAATGCTGTCTGGACTTTCAGTCAATTATGGAAGAAATATTTTACAGGATGTACAAACACAAGCAGACCTGCATTGGCAATTGGTAGTACAATAGTTACAAAGTCATGGATGAAATTCAAACTGACACTTTTTTGTTTATGTGCCATAGTTTAACTGGTATGATTTCATCAAGGGGTTGCACTTTGAATCAATGTGAAATAAAGTACATAATTTATTAGTATTTGATTGTTGGTGAAATAAATATTTTGTTAATCTCTATTTTTCATCTATTTTATTCTGCTGTTTGTTACAGCAAGTTATTAATAGACAATGCATTGAAAAGGAGCTTTGATGCAATTCATTTTGTGCTTCTAAACTTAACAGAGCCATAGACATGTTTTAGAATAAAAAATGTTTATTAAACCATTATACATCCTTAAAGACAAAAGAACATGTGAACACCAATATAATAGGAAATTCTACTCTGTAGTGTGATTAGTTTGACTGATGTCAGAAATAAGCTTCTGTAATTCTCTGAGTCTAGACTCCAACCACTGAGGTGTGGTGTGGGTGTTACTTTTGGCCTGTAGGAGGCGCTGTAGAGCTTTAAGAGCACACTCAGCGGTTTGGAGGTGTCTGCTATAGTCATCTTCTTCACTGGTCTCCTGACGAGGCCTTTTTGGATATGGCTGGAGACAAAGTAACAATTTAAAGAGTGCATGCATATTTTATTTATATTTTTAGTAGTATAGTATAGTACTTGCTTACCTCAGCTTCAGCACTGGTTTCCACTAAAAGGTTCATTGACCCATAGTCACCACTCTCAAGCTTCTCATTGAACTGGTCTATCACCATAGTCTCCATTTTAAGTCTTTCGAGTCTTGTTGGTCCTTCTTGTTCTCTAACAGCCTAAAACAACACAATTAGTGAATATAATATTGTACCATTCTTGTAGTAATCTGTCATGGCAATCTTACCTTACTCAGATAGTTGACCACCATTGCCTTTGTCTCCTCTTCAGACAGACTCTGAGAAATCACCTCTTCATGATTTGTGCTCTGAAGAAACAGCAGGCATTTCATACTTTAATTTAAAATTCAGTTTATTGATATTTGCTAGAACTACCTAACAAATGAATAGTGATTACCTCTGCAAACTGAGAAAATGCCTCTAACGCATGGTGCTGTACTAACCATGGCGAACTTGTGAGAAGCACCCTAAAAAGGCTGCTTAATCTCGGCAGAATTTGGCTCTATGGGATGAAGAAGTTATGTGTTTTATCAACAGCATGTTGTAATTATTTAAAAAAAATAATGAAACATTCATAAAGTACTTGAAAATCAGGTGGGACAAATATCTTTCCCATTGAGGACAGAAACTCCAGAGTGGCCAGAAGCAGTTCATCCACAGACTTCAGAGACACCACAGCCTCCACACACAACAGAGCCTGAAAAGCTACTAGTTAGTGGTACGTTCACAATAGATGTTTTTTCAAATGATGTAAATACCTGACAAATGACTTGAGACTCCAGGTTCTTTGCCAGAATTGCAGACATTAACAGGAGGAGCTCCAGAGTATATTGGAGCACTGTATGTGATTTTATCTGGTAGAGAATGTATATATCACATGAACTATGTTCTTCATTAGCTTCTGTGTAAAAATGCATCTCACCTGGTCTGGATTCATTCGTAACCAAATCTGGGTGATCACCTTTACCATACTTTCTCTGTATTGCTCTTCTATCATCTGCCCTCTAGCCACCACTAGGAGGACTAACAGTACAAGGTTCTGCAAAGAAAATATACTATTATACTATACTAAATATATTTATGAAATCATGTCCTCATTAACCTTCAGACTTTTTTCTTAGTTCCACACCCAAAGGAAATAGATTTTTTAATACGTAATTATTATCTGTAGTTGGAACGAAAACTGGGCTCCCAGACCCACAAGGTCAAGGACAAGTTGTTGACAATGGATAACAAAAGTGAAACAGACACGAGCACCCAAACTATGTGCAAGTGTGTTTTTTCTTACCATTTTGCTAACATGTCTTAGTTTATAGTCATCTTTTTGCCAGTCACTCAAACTCTTTTGAGCAAGTTCGACAATGCCAGACTCAATTATGCACCGTGTTTCTTGAGAAAAGGCTTTCAGGAGAACATGATTCCACACAGCCAGATTCTCCATCACTGATGGTGGGAACTGCTCCACAAACTTTATCTAGGAGGCAAAACACAAGAGAAAGGGCATAAATCTCTAACTAGGTAGGTATACAGCCTTTATAACTTTAAGGGAGGTGGAGATAAATATCAAGCAGGGGGTTATGTTATCTACCATTGCAAAGCTCTGGTTGAGCTTTTATCCTGAACAAGCTAGATGTGATATAAATAGGAACGGAAGCCCTAAAAGACCTTTGTAAGAATAAAATATTTGTTTTGTCATTTGTCTGTTTGTTTTTTTTTTATTCAAAACCTGATGATTTGGTGTCATGAGGAAAGTCATTCTCCTCAGTAACAGACCCAGGTGGGAACATTGGTAGGATGCAGTGGGGCCACTTTTCACCTGAAAGAAAAAGAAGAATGCAGAATACAGTATGATAAATACAACAAACTAGAAGATTGCACATTTTCAACAGTCACTACTACCGAGTACCTACCAACTGAGCAATGAGGAGGGCATGATGCAGACACAGTTCTGCTGTCCCATACCTGCAGAGATGGACACTGTTAATTCCCAATAATATCTTCAGAACTTTTAAAATGTTTGAAACCGCTGAATGACAAAAGGCAGAGAGTGACAGAAACATGGGATATGATAGAGGAAATAAATATAGTTGATGTGTATAGAATGGTAAAAGCCATACCGTACTGTGAAACACCAAGTGTCTATTGCCAACAAGGCAGTGTGAGTGTCAGGCTGTAAAACAGAACGGACTAAACACTGCTCCTGAAAAGAAAGGAAAAAAAGAAGGGAAACTTATCCCATGGATCGACTGGCAGAAACTAATCAGTGTGCCAGAATAAATAGTGGCAACAGAGGCAAAGAAAATTAGAAGTGAAAGAACAACTTTGCCTCAATAGGTGGAAATCCTGCACATTCTGGCTTTTAGAATGTTTGTACTATGATATGGTATTTTCTGCTTTTAATTCTCACGTATCAAATGTAATTAAGTTTACTACTATGATAATGAAGGCAGTTAGTGATTAGTAGTTTTCTAAAGTTTTTTTGCAAAAGAGAACAATCTAAAATTAGTAATCATTACAGCAGTAATTGAATTTCAACTAACCAGCAATGGAAAGTAAGCAGGTGGAAGTGTAGCCACGCTTGCACAGAGATGAACACAAACATGTTGGTGAAGTGTGATCAGAGCCTGAGCCTGACCGTTCATCATTACACCTGGCAACCACACCGGGTACCTGCCCTCTGTGTAGCACCTCCGGAAGCTACTAACCACAGCTTCATACAGAGGAAGCCTGAAAATATTAATACTGGATATTTAATCTGTGCTTTGTGTTTGAATTAAGAGACAGTATTAACAGTCACCTTTGTGTCTCCTCTGAGAAGAGTCTTCCAGTGTACCACAGCTGCTGCACATCCTCTGGTTGCGAACCCAGTTGATCCATGACACTTACCAACAAAAGGCACTGAGACAGCTCATGCTCAGGAACTAGTTCTAAACAAGTAAAAATTACACATTTAAAATCACAATAATTTCATGAGAAATTACAAATACGAGAACTGTCTTTTAAAATGTACTTGAATTTGGGTGCAGAGCAGCTTCAGCAAAAGCCTGTAATGGCAGCAGCTGGAACAACAGTGCATCCAGTGGGATCCGGGCAGCAACATTCAGCTCCTCAAACAAACCAGGAGGCAGCAGAGGGGAGCTCAGGTTTGGAGGGAACTTACTGTTGAACAAAATAAATATGTAATGAACGTATGGTTCTTTGTTCTCAACAAACATAATACATACCTTAAAATTTTGAGGTAGAGTTGATAAAAGCGGTGACAATATTTTGTCATAAAAGAGCCAAACTCCTGAAAACCAAGACAATTATTATTATTGAAATGCTAATACTACCCAGCGTGACATGTTTTGTTTTTATTACCTTTATGTAATGAACTAATGTGTTCCCAAAGAATTTGCACATCTTTGCAGATTTCTGAAACAACTTTTGTTCAGCGGTTTGTGCTGTCTCCTTCGAAAGAACAAATGAGAATTGTAACAATGGCAACAACATTCACCTCTGACCTCACATATTCTGAAGGCAAAGGGCAGGCACCCGTGTGCCGTAAAGTCAACTACTGAAATAGCACAAATACAAAAACATAATTCTGCTGATTACAACTGTTTTACAGATGCCATAACAACCCTATATGTCTTTCTACTTTTGAGACCCAAAAGAAAGCTGAGTACTTAAGTAGAGGTTAAAATTGTGTTACACTGGGGTTATACCTGTAAACTAGAATATTTTATCTGTTCAGCCATCTCCAGACAATTTTGAAAAGATGATAACAGGTTATCACACAGGGCAGTGCTGATGTCATTATGATGCAGATGTTCCGCCAACAGTGAGTGGTACTTTAGGCTGTGTCTGCAATCATATTGGCACTACAGTTATACAAGTATTACAAAACAAGGTCATTTACAGTAACACACTCACTTGATAAGAAATTTCCATGTGTTAGCATGAAGTGCTATGTCCAGGTTGGATATGACTGAGCAAATATCCAGCAGATTGTGGATGACTTCAAACATAAAAACAATAATTAGTATTTCTTTATTACAATTTACAAAGTGCTATAAATGTTATGTTATGTAAATGTTACACTTGTTATAGCAAACATGTATTCTACCGGAATTAGGTATTGACTTTGCGATATACACTATATAAATCTAACAGTGTAACATCTATGCACGCAAAACCAAACAATAAGTCCAGTACACACCAGTAACAAAGTCAGAGACCTCTTCATCTGAGGCAGTGCTGTCCAAAGGGACACGGTCCAAAACCTCCAACAAGCCCTTCTGCAGGGAATAAGCTGCTTTAAACAAGGCCTGCAGAAGATCGGCCACTAGGGACAGGCGGCCACAGTAAATCACCTCACTGTCCTACAAACGTAAACAAAAATGAATAACCTGAGTATTGAAGTGCATAAAATATGAAAGCATAAGAAAAACAAACTGACCTTACAATGCTGAAATGTGTAATTAAGAATTTTCAGGACACAAGTTGGCAAAGAACGAATCATATCTAAATATGGAGTGTTATCAAACGACCCCACATGCCGCACACAAGCTGACAGGGAATCAATTATCTGCATCACTGACTAAAAACAAAATTAAGACAGGTAAGTTATCATCTGAATGTGAAAAGCAAGAAGAGTGTGTTTATTATGGTACCTCTAGTATTCTTCTGAGAAAAGCACACAGTTCTGTGTTTTGGCTGGACAACCCGCCGACCTGGTCTAAAATCTCTTTCAACATGCTGCCAAACACTGTGACAGCCTGTATATGTCCCAGGAACCACAGAGAGCATTTAAAAAAACTGAAATATGATTATGCTCAGATAATATAAGTGAAGGTGCAGTACCTTCGGAAGGACCTTCGAGAAGCACTCATCTTCCAGCTCGGACAAACCAATGTGAGGCAGGAACTTATCTGTGATTATCTTCAAAATACCTGGCAAATGCAAATAAACAGTCAAATATGAAGTATCACAAACCAGCTGTTCAGTGTTTCAGTGAACACATTATCTGTGCATGTAACTTACGTATATGATCATCCCAGCTTTCTGATTTGTAGTGCAAGGAGTACAACCAGTTAGGGTAAATGCATAATGTATGTAAAGTTTGATTTTAATATACATTCAGTATATATCAAATCACTACAAGCATGTAAATACATTTAATTGTAGATGGACAATATTTTTCTGAGCAATATCATTATGCATGGCAAAGCTATTATGTAATTGTTGGAAAGCAGACGTGTTCAAACTATGACTACTGACCCAAATGACCTAAAGTATTCTCTATTACTGATATCTTTTGTGGATTCTGCTTTCTCAACTTAAATAACTGAATTTTCTTGTCAGTCTACACAGTCTTAACATAAATGTTTCAAACTTTGTTAAAGCTGTGGTACTCAGTCAAACCTGCTTCAAACGCATATTTTTTAAGAATTCATTTCTGTCCGTGACCCTTCGCTTCGTGTAAGTTTCAATTTAAGAACCTTGGTGAAAAACGTTTGAACACCCTGTTCTAAAGCACTGACTAACACTAGGGAAAGTCACTTAATGGTGCCAGTTATTCCCATTAACAAAAAGGATATGGTGAGCTTGGGGAGGACAGACTTAAGCTCCTGGCGGCACGTTTCCGGGCTCCACTGCACCACCTCGTCTAGGAGAGAGGAGTTGGTCTGGGACATGACAGTAGCCTCCTCTGGGACACATCAGACTGCAGTCATCCGGACGATATGTTTAAACACCGAGTGACTCACTGCTATCTGAAGATAATCACTCGACACTCGTCAGTCTTCAATGTTGTTCCGGAAATAAAATAAGTCATCGTTAAAACGGAACATGCTATGTTGTGGATAAGAGTTGGCATTACATTTACAAAGAATTTAGCTTGACAGCATTGTAGTTCGTTATCTTGTTAGATTTCTTACCATAAACTCTGTAATTAAAAGGGAGTTTTCAGATCTATGTGTATGATGAGCTGTTTGTATCCGTCAATGCAATAATATTAACTTTAAGAAACACAAAGCCGTTTTCAGTGTAGGAAAAGGAAAAAGGAAGACCACAGTGCGCGCGGTTGTTTTGGTCGGATGTGACGGAGAATCCAAAGCTCTTTGCTGATTGGCTACAGCCAACCATTCAGAGCTCTTGTAAGTAGACCATACTAAAAACTGGATTAGGCATTCCCATGGATCTATAATGGGCATTCCCCCTCTGACCGACTTGTCGCCGCTCTGTTGTTACCGCAAATCCCGGGAGCGTGGGCCCAGAAATAATTCTCCCATAGGGCGCAGTGCATGTTTGGAGGAATTCAAACTGCCCGTGTTGGGCTGACAGGACATAGACAACTTTCACAAACGTCGGATTTTGTAGGGATTATTTTCTATTTTCACAGCATAAACTTTTTAAAATTCCTAAATCCTCAAAGCACCTAAAAGTTAACTTTTTAAGACTTAGCCTAGCTCCGGTCTGAGCCTGAGCCGGCTCCGCTGCGCACGTTACAGACGTCACACGGGTGGGAGGAGCTAGCCCGTATTGAGAAAGTAAATGTAGAAGAGAAAGTACTTTTTGGCCCATGCGCCAGTGAACACACACCGCTGACAACAATACGACACCATCTTGGGTTCACTCTCCAGATTTTATTATAGTTCTATGAAGTAGACCGTTGTGGCGAACAAATTAAAGGGCCCATATTACGCTGTTTTCTGATCTGTTTACACTATTCTAGTGTTTAGACTATTCTAATGTTGTTTCCGTCTTTAAAAAAATACCCGGAGTTGTCTTTATGTTTCATTCACATACGTTTAACGCTCAATCCTGCATATTTACAGAGTTCTTCTCTCAAATGGAGGACACTGTTCCACCTTCTGATCTCATGCGGTAATACAGAAAGTGATCCACTGATGTGAATGAAACAAAACACAACCCCAGGTATGTTTTTGACTAAAAGTGTACAAGAGTCAATTTGGTGTAATATATTCCCTTTACATTTATGAAGACCTGGCTGATAACAATGTATCTATTTATTGTCTTTCAAAACACTAAAGAACACTATGTTTCTTTTTCTCTCTCTCTTTCTCTCTATAATCACCATCATTGTAAACACAGAGTATGGTTACAGTTGGTTAATAATGGTTAACAAATCTAATAAATATATTAATTATTATTTTTAATCAAACTTGAGACACATGCATGCTCATTACCACTTGGTTCTGTTCGTTCATTCACCATATTCATAAAGCAGGCTTACAAACATGCTGGAGGTAAGCCAGGTGAAGTGTCTTGCCCATGGACACACCATCAGCATTAGTTGGTGCAAGAAATGATCTGCCAACCTTTGGGTTAGTTGCATTATGGGGGGAAGGAAGCGTACAGTCCCTGACAAAAGTCTTGACGCTTATCCATTTTGTAGAAACAAAAGCTTATAACCTGACTTTAAATTAATCAATTGGTTTTAGAAATGTCTCATATGAAAGCTAAAACCCTCCCAAATTATGCTCAATATACTAAAACAAATTTGCTTCACTGAAGAAAGATTGATCATTTGATGAACACAGAAAGGTCAGATTTTGGCAAGACAAAAGTCTTGTCACCTACAGAAAATTGAACAAATAATTTACTTCAAATACAAAAATATGTTACATAACGTCAGTGAATTAAGTAGTGGTGCTGTGAGATCCATATTTAATATCTTGTATCTTGTAAATTGAGCATAATTTGAGAGGGTTTTAGCTTTCATATGAGACATTTCTAAAACCCATCGATTAATTTAAAGTCAGGTTATAAGCTTTTGTTTCTACAAAATGGATAAGCGACAAGACTTTTGTCAGGGACTGTATACCATGGTTACCCAGAGCCCAATGTAGGAAAGGGGATCATGTTCATTTACCATAAACCAACAGGTCTCAAACTTTTCACAGCAAGTATCACCAAAGATCATATTTACTGTCTGTGTATTCAGTTTTTGTTTTGATTTGCAACACTCAAATTAGAATAATCAAAAATACTCTAAGTTACACTCTCTCCAGCCTTTCCAATCAGAGTCTCAATGATTTTCCTTTGGGCCGCTCATTTGAGACTGCTTCTGGAATGCTATTGTTTGTTGATAAGATCTGTACAGTTGCTGTAAACTCCCGCACTCGTGTAGCTGTATTGTTTCCCAACAACTGAGGTGTGAGCTGCCACTGCTTAAGGAAAGGCCATCATGCTTTATTGTGTTCAGAAGTGAAGTGCATATATGGATCTCTGATGGGGTTGGTTAACAAATAAGTCGGTTACAAATAATACAACTAATACTAACCTACAGTTTAACTGATGAGGGCAGGAAAAATATTATTGGTCCCCTACTTGGTTCTTTTGTCATGTGCAGGTATGTAATGTCCGTAATATAAATAATCAGGTTTAAAATGTTTTCATTTAATTAAATCTGAGAATTACAAATGCAATGCACTGTGTTGATATGGGCATAGACTGACAGTTTCTATACTTTGTTTCAATCCAAGTTGTATGCCGTTTTGTAAAGCTTTATCCATTTTTGTGTGGATGATTGTGTAAGAATTAATTAAAATTGGAGGAAACCTAGTGACCCCCAGTATATTAGTAAAATGATCTCTTTCTGCGTGAGAAAGCTATTTTTACCAACAAAATCAAGCCCTTTCCAGAAGTATGACTATCCCTTTTCCCTGCTGAGCTGACCCCAGTCTGTGAAGAAAAGAGGTTATCAGTGGAGAGGAAACTGGCTCCACATTTGCAGCAGGATTTAAAAGGAAGATTTCATTGTTTGTTTCAGTGAGGCCATGAGGTGACATTCTGCAGTCAAACCGCATCCACACATGCAGAGGTGAGATAGTTGAGCCAGGATGGAAACCAAATTTGGTCTATAGAAGAGCAGGAAGTACTCCAGCACTTAACAGAATGTTCACTGCAACTATACCCATATATAATGCAGTTTAAAACAAAATTTTGTACATAGAATGAACAATAAGGCCAATTATTTTAATACCTGCTGGTTTATTAACACATTTTACTTTCCTGAAAACAGCAGATCCAAGTCAGAAACGAAAGTGATGTGAACCACCCATTTGCTTATCACATTCTAATACAACTTTCCTTTCAGGATGTGCAAGTGGTTCCAACAAACTCACGCCTTCCGGGATGGACTTTACGCCTGGCACATTTCCAAATATATCAAACACAATACAGGTTTACAGGCGGACTAAATCTATAATAATGCAATAGGATTGATGCTGAGCCAAAGGCTTCCGCAGACAAAAGTTGGAGTTTTTATTTTTTGTCATCAGACCAAGTGACCTCATAGCCAGTAAAGGCACTCTTAAGCTTCTCTGCAGACTCTGCATGGTCAGCTTTGCCAAAAGCCTAAACAAAAAACAAACAAAAAAATGAGACTTTGAAGTGGCATAGGCAAATATGTATAACAGTTATAATTGTAGGGTAATAAACATACAGTTGATTCACCAAAGACTCTAATTTTTTTGTCAGATCTGTTGTGCTCGATTTTCCCTCCTCCAAGACATTTACACTCCAGACCCAGGGCCTCCATGGTTGGACTTACTTTCTCAAAGATGTGATCTGAAAAATATATGAATATCATTAAATTGCAAAAAATGAAAATTTTCTGTGTTGTTGACATTAGTGTGTTGGCATTAGGCTATGATATTTTTTGTCTTTTATATCTGGCAGCTGTGACTAGTAACTCCAAAATGCACACGCCTATCCAAAAAAGACTTACGTAATTGCTATACTGAATGATAATTGAGCATACACCTGTACAAATGGACAAACTTACTGTGGTACTCTGCACTTTTCGTGCCCCGAACTATGTGCTTAAATGCATCGCCGTCTTTGACACTGATTCTTAATAATATGTATTTGAATGTTCCCTCTGGATCAATCTCTACATCGGGGACTTTAGCCAGAATGTCTGCCATTATAATCTGCTTTTCCAAACCCAGGACAAATTTTTCGTCAAGAGCGAAGTGGGCCAACTGCGCACAAACCGACGACTCAAACCTTCTACGGTCTGACGGTCTTTTCTTAAAGGGACACCCGTCAGTTTTTTTACGGAGTTGTGGCAAGAGATTAGCAGGCGCCTCCTACTGACAACAAACAAGAAGTTCAAACGTAACATGAGGCAAGTGAGGCTTCATTCATGTTTTTAAGATTTTATTTATGCCCAGAAAAACCTCCCTGCTGTTCCCCTATCATATAATCTACATTATGGTTTGGTTCATGAAAGGGGGACTGCAATTTAAAGTTAATATTAATAGGTCTACTTTTAGAAGTTTGACAGTTTTAGGATCAAAGTAAAATGTTTGCACAAATTTTAGGCAAAACATTTTATCGTGAGCTACAATTCTTGTTACAAAACAAAAAAGACCTTGTTGACCTTCTTGTTTTCTTCTTCTTTGTACCTGTTATGGCGTTCAGTTTTTTCACGAGTTGTTGAGTTGAAAAGGTGATGAACTTCACTTCTTTTAAATAAAAAAGGAAGGATGTCAAAGGCACCTCTGCTCCAGGACCATGTTTCCTGCCTGTGCCACTGAAAACAAAAGAACATAACTGGATGTCAAGATTTTAGTTCACAGAATGCTGCCATTTTGCATTTATATATCTATGTTCTCCTGAGGTTGAAGTTTCCAGGTATTTATAGGCTGTAATCCTGATGCTTTTGGCCAAACATGACTAATGATGAGAAAACATATAATTTGCAAACACACAAAGGAAAAGATATAACAAAGACTGAATATTTACATTAAATATAGTTAATCCAACAAGTAATTATATATTAAGTTGATGTCAAGAATGAAGAACATTTCCGGGACCTCACATGGGTGGGGGTGTGGGGGATTTCCACTGAAAATCCTAGTCGTGATGTTACTTCCCGGAAAAGTGAAACTCACTAGTGTAAAGTATAAAAGCAGTAACAAGGTCTGCGTAGATTCAGATGCTACTTACTGCCTTGTGCTGCAAAGACCACCACACGTTTGAGATAGAAGAATCATCCACTGGATTTTACACACAGCAAAATGGTAAGAGTAGTGCAATAAATAAGTTATATTTTTCATAGTCTGTGGCTTATAATACATATTACTTTTTATCAGATGAACACCGGATCAGTTCAAACTTCTTCAGGCAGGATCAGTTTGTTCTGCCTTTACTCAGGTATGATCTCTCTAAATATTTATCTTTTTTCATTCATTCATTGTGTTGCCAACAAATCTCTTTTTCATTTTTAGCAATGTTGTTTTGGACAAGCATCAACTGCTGGTCTTACCACTATTCAGAAACAACAATGAACTGGCAAGATGCAAGAGCCTGGTGCCAGAAGCATTACACAGACATGGTTGCCATCCAGAACCAAGATGAGATAACATACCTCAACAACCGGCTGCCCAGAAAACCCACTTACTACTGGATTGGCATTCGCAAAATCAACGGTGTGTGGACCTGGGTAGGAACCAACAAGCCTTTGACAGAAGAAGCAAAAAACTGGGCATCAAGGGAACCCAATAACGGCAACAAAAATTCACAGAGTGAGGACTGTGTGGAGATGTACATCAAGAGAGAGCGTGAGGAGGGCAAGTGGAATGATGAAAGATGTGGGAAATTCAAGACTGCCCTGTGCTACTCAGGTAAGATGTTATATTTTTAACCTTTTATAAATTAATAAAAAAGAAATACACATTAACTTTAGAAATCCATGAGAAAGTAATTTAATTTTAAAGCCAATACATCAATTTTTTTTTTTTTTGTTAACCAGCTGCCTGCAAAAATGATTCCTGCTTATATGGGGAATGTGTGGAAACCATAAACAGCCACAAGTGTGAATGCAATGAGGGTTTTTATGGAGAAAAGTGTCAGCATGGTAAGAAACTTGAGTTGTATTTAATTTGCCTTTTTCATTCTTCGATATTAAGTCTTTTTTGTCTTTGTTGGCAGTGTATTATTGTAACAAAGATGAGGTGACAGTGCCGGACAATGGCAGAGTTAACTGCACTCACAAGTATGGGGACTTTGCTTATGATTCTGAGTGCCAGTATTCCTGTAAGGAAGGATATCAGCTGAGTATGCAAAGACCTCTTCAATGCACTGCTAAAGAAACATGGTCGGATCAACCACCAACTTGTGAATGTAAGTTCAAATACAATTTTGTATAGTCATAACATTAGTAATAATAATGCAATAATATTAGGAGTAGAAGGTAAAAATATATCTCTTAGGCCAAGTAGGTAGAACACACAGTTTAGTATCTATACTGAGCCACTGATATAAATGATTTACAAATGATCGACATCTCAAAATTTTACTTACAATTAAGATAAGTAAACCATAATTTTAGGGGTAATTAATTGTACTCTTACTTCTACATCTTTCTACACATGTATTTTGTCCCTTACAGTGATACAGTGTCCAGAGCTGTCCAATCCACAGTGGGGCTTGGTGACATGCTTACATCCTGTGGGACCCTTCAGTTACCAGTCCACGTGTATGTTTACCTGTGAAGAAGGCTATGAACTCACTGGGTCTCCAACACACACTTTGTTATGTGAGCCAACAGGACAGTGGAATGCATCAGGGCCATCTTGCGCTGGTAACATTTAAAGATCCCCATTTCAAATGATTTTTCTGAGAAAAATATCCTCTTAACTATTCGCTATAACTGACACTGAATTCATATTTATCTAGCTGTTCAGTGCCCAACTCTAACGGAGCAAAGTAATCTCATCATCACCTGTGACAACATCACCTTTGGAAGTTCATGCAGCTTCAGTTGTGCGACAGGCTTCTCTCTGGTGGGACCTAAAACTATAACATGTACTTCATCTGCAGAGTGGAGTAGCAGCATGCCATTCTGTGAAGGTAAACACATTTTGTACTTCTTTTTTCACCACTGTAGTATAATATAGAGTTAATATTATTACTTATGTGAAGTGAATACATTTGCCTATTTTTGTTATCTTCTAGCTGTGCAATGTCCTGCAATCTCAGTAATGGAAAATGCTGTTGTGAACTGTGAAGGAGATGCCAAAACAAAGTATGCATATGGAAACTCCTGTAGCTTCAGTTGTCTGCCAGGATATAATCTGGTGGGGACAGAAGCTCTAACATGCACTGCATCAGCAGAGTGGAGTGGAAATGTCCCGTACTGCCAAGGTATGGTCCAACTGAGATTACATTAAGATAACTGTACTCTTACTTGACTGGTGATTAAAAGTACTACTGATAGTCTATTTGTTAAGCATTTTTCTAACCATGCATTTTGTCCCTTACAGTGATACAGTGTCCACAACTGTCCAAACCACAGTGGGGCTCAGTTACATGCTCTGATCCTGTGGGACCCTTCAGTTACAAGTCCAGGTGTATGTTTACCTGTGAAGAAGGCTATGAACTCACTGGGTCTCCAACACACACTTTGTTATGTGAGCCAACAGGACAGTGGAATGCATCAGGGCCATCTTGCGCTGGTAACATTTAAAGATCCCCATTTCAAATGATTTTTCTGAGAAAAATATCCTCTTAACTATTCGCTATAACTGACATTGAATTCATATTTATCTAGCTGTTCAGTGCTCAACTCTAACGGAGCAAAGTAATCTCATCATCACCTGTGACAACATCACCTTTGGAAGTTCATGCAGCTTCAGTTGTGCGACAGGCTTCTCTCTGGTGGGACCTAAAACTATAACATGTACTTCATCTGCAGAGTGGAGTAGCAGCATGCCATTCTGTGAAGGTAAAAATATATATTTTATTTCTTGCCATTAAATTCTATAAAACAATCATTATAATCCCCTCATTAAAGTCTTTGTAGAGGCTACTGTAAATGGCCTTCTTTATGTGAAGTGAATACATTTGCTTTTTTTTGTTATCTTCTAGCTGTGCAATGTCCTGCAATCTCAGTAATGGAAAATGCTGTTGTGAACTGTGAAGGAGATGCCAAAACAAAGTATGCATATGGAAACTCCTGTAGCTTCAGTTGTCTGCCAGGATATAATCTGGTGGGGACAGAAGCTGTAACATGCACTGCATCAGCAGAGTGGAGTGGAAATGTCCCATACTGCCAAGGTATAGTTCAACTGAGTTTACACTGTTATACAACTAAAATACATGATTATTAAAGTGTTTTTTTTTTCTGTTCTAGCACTGTACTGTCCAGTGCTTGAGGAGAAGCCAAACCTTACAAAGACTTGCAGTAGCAAAAATTCAGAGCTGGCACCTGGGGCTACTTGCAGCTTTAGCTGTGAACCTGGCTTTCAGCTTCATGGAGAAGAAAACCTCCAGTGCACAGAAGATGTACAATGGGATGTAACCATGCCATCGTGTGAAGGTATTTAGGAATTAATTTCATGACTTATAAAACGTCAGTGACAATTCATGTAATTACTGAAATTAGTCTATGATTGTTGCTTGTTATAAAAAAGTTCGTTATTGCCTATTATAATATGTTAATAGATGAGACAGTTGTTCAAATGGTTGTAATGGTTCAAATGCTCTTGTATTTATAGCCACACCATCTCAGGAGACTCTCATTGCCTCAGGAGTGGCAGCAGGGGGCGCTGTTTCACTGACCGGTCTGTCCCTGGCTATGTGGATCCTCAAGAAACTCAGGAAAAGGGCATCTAAGTTTGACTTGAGCAGGTGAGAGTTGCCAGCAATTAACTCATGTATTTTCATTTATATTATATGCATATTTTATTATCATTTGCTGTTGTTTCTGCAGCTCTGACATTGACGTCCCTCCACAGCACTACAAAAACAGCATTGACAGCCTCATATAGAAAGTTCACTGTGAAATATTCCCAAAGCACAACATTTTGAGTACTTTGAGACAAACTTTGGTGTTTGTCTATATATATATATATGTGTGTGTGTGTGTGTGTGTGTGTGTGTGTGTGTGTGTGTGTGTGTGTGTGTGTGTGTGTGTGTGTGTGTGTGTGTGTGTGTGTGTGTATATTGTATGTATTACTCCTAAGGGGCTTTCTACACAAAATATTGGAGCATATTGTTCTACATTACATTACTATGTGCATATATGTGAAACTGTACTGTATGGTAATTGTGCATAACATTTATTTAACAGCAAAAAATTATATTTGTTAACTGTGAATTTATTTATGTAAAAAAGTATATATTTATAATAAAATATATTAATAAATACACATAAAGGTTTGCTTATTTTATTTTAAAACTATAAAAATCCAATCAACATAACCTTCACACTAAACTTTCAAACTTAAAGCTAGAAATTTTAATAATTTGTAAGAAACATTTGGTGAAAAAAGTATAGACATACATAGTTTGTGACTGAAAATTGCTGTGATAATAGACAAAATTAGGCAAGCAATCTGATATTTAAAAACTAAGTTAATGTACAAGAAACACAAACTTTAAAATCTTCTTATGCGTTTTGCCTGTTTTATCCCAATTTAATGAAATGTAAATGTGGTGTTGTGATTAGGAAATCTAATTTATATAATAAAAAGTAAGTTAATTAGCTAATTACTACCCACTTCTCCCTCTAACTGACAAAACTAGTGACTGCGAATTTCTAGTGTCTTCAAAAAGGGTAAAAAAAAAAATTCACCACTTGCTTCTGTTCTTCTAGCTCTCAGGACACTTATACAATTGTCCCTATATGCTGCACATAAGGAAGAAGTGTGAGAGAGTCAATGTGTTTTACAGATCAGCACTGATTAGTGTGTTTATTTTAACAGGCAGGGCTTGTGTCAGCACTTTAAAGGAGCTGAAATACCACTTTATGTTGTCTTACTGTCTGAATACAGTTCTGTATTTTTATTTATTTATTTTTTTGTACTATGAATTAATCTTACACATTTCAAGATAAATATGTATAAATTATATCAGTGATCCAAACTGGCAAATGGGGTTAAAGAGAAGTCATTTGGATCTGGTTTGTGGTTACAATAAAAATCCAAACAAGACTCTTCCTCCCAGCCAACCTTGTTTTTCATCAGCCACATTCATTGGGTGAGGTAAATTTCCAGGTATTCTTTGACAAATTTGGATAAAAACTATAATCTAACATTTAACTTTCTCTCATATTCTTTCAGCTTGGGACTTGGGATTTCAGAGCTGACAACATTATGAACTGGACAGTCATTGTACTTGGTAAGTAAGCCTTCCAAGTCTCCTGAAATCTTAGATGGGCAATTGACACTTGTTAGCACATTTTTTGAAGGAAAGGTACAATTTTGATTTCTAGTGGAAAGATTGAGGAGCAATGCTCTCTTTGCCTGGTAAATCCAGACCGAAATCCTCTGTAGATCAGTCTATGGGAAATGTAAATTTTGGTTGGCCAAGGCTTCCCAAACCAAACTCAAGAACCACTACAAAGTGGAGCTAAGTGGCAGATTTTATTAAGGTATATTAACAATGTATTCACTCATTTGTATGACTTTTACAGAGTACAAATAGGCTGTATTTCTCAAAAGTATATATAGACTCTAGAGTCCTGTGAATACAGTTTAGACTTGAGACTGTGAGTCAGTTTCCTCCCCATCAGTTTTATGCAGTTCACATCTTGAAATAATAATTTGAATTTGCTTTGATAGCAGGTTCTTTGGTGGGCATCACCATGGGTTGGACATACCACTACTCCAATGTAACCATGAACTGGGCTGCGGCCAGAAAGTGGTGCCAGGCCAAGTTTACAGATATGGTTGTGATCCAAAATCAGTTGGAGAATGACTATCTAGTCTCCCTGCTGCCCCAAAGAAACTCCAGTCCATACTTCTGGATCGGAATCACAAGGACTTACGCAAACGAGACATGGAGGTGGATCGGGAATAACAGTACTTGGATGGGGAGTGAATCATGGGACGAAAATGAACCCAACAATGACCACAGTGCCGAGTTTTGCGTTGAAATCTACACCAGCAGAGGGCGCAAAAGGGGCAAGTGGAACGACGAGAAGTGTAGTGTGCTGAAGTATGCCACATGCTATAAAAGTGAGGGCTCATAATAATGATTTTTTTTTACCTACGAGAGACCTCCTCATATTATCACAGATTTTAACTTTGTTTTACAGCTGAATGTACAAACATGACATGTGACAGAGGAAGATGCCATGAGACCATCAACAAAGTAACCTGCCTTTGTGAACCTGGTTTTGTGGGAGACAGGTGTGAAACAGGTGAGATAAATTTAGATATTTTGGGGAAAATAAATTAATAAATACAGTAAATACAATTTTGAACACAATCATATTTCTATTCAGGAAATAGTTTTAATGAATATCCTCATTTGGCCAAGTTTTGATTACTGTATGTTTTTATCCTTGAAAACAGAAAATACACATGCCTAAAATATTCAGACACATCAGTGAGAGTTTAGGATGGGAAAAATATAATTCAGGTAAAATAATTAATTGATTAAATAAACGAATTAATACTTTTAAACATTTGTTAAACTACACAGAGATGTTCTACAGTCAGTCAGGTACAAAAAAACACAAGTGTAATTTCAGTTTAAAAAAATGTTTTTGTTTCAGTAGCCTATATTTAGTTTTGCATGAATCCATTTCTTTGCTCTAAAATACAGTAGTTTTGAATGACATTGGGTCAATAAAAATAATACTTGAGATATCTCAGTACCGAATTTGTAATATTTAAATTACGCCTACATATCCACAATGTCTGTCTTGGTTTAATTTCTTCTGGTATTCTTCTGTTGGGCTCAAGTGTTACCGGCTGCAGCTGCGGACTGTCCCCCGGTGCCCGATCCTGATAACGAAGTGCTCAGCTGCTCCTCCACGAACCACACTTTCAACACCACGTGTCGCGTGACCTGCTCCTTTGGCCTCCTCACCATCGCCTCCGCACACATCACCTGTCAGACCAACGGGCTCTGGAGCGGGCCCAGACCTGCCTGTGCAAGTAAAAAGCTGTGTTTATGTTGATGTACAATGCACAAATATTATAGTGTTGCATTTTTTAGGTTATAAGAAGGCGTTGTTGGCTGTAGCTGGGAGTGGAGCCATCTCAATCCTCTGCTGCATATGTTTTTGCTGGATGCAACACAGGAAAAGTAGGTGTTTAGATGATGAAACTGAAGACAGTGTTAATATAATACTGATCTTTTTATAATTCTTTGTAGGAAAGAAAATCAACCAAATAAGGTAGGCAACATGTATGAATAAGCAAAATGAGAATTTCTTAAACAAAATTCATCTTCCTTGTTACATTTTTACATTGTATATTTTGCTGTTATTTTTCAGCCAAGGTGTTGAGGAAGCAAACCCCTCCAGTGCATTGTCAGGATAAAAAATGTACATTTAATTAAAATCCCTGCATTTCTACCTGTGCTATGGGATACCTCATATTTATCAGTATTATATTTTTTTCACTGTTGTATTGGGTTCAGTGTCTGGTGGAAGCTGATATCTCAACTTGACTGTGTGAACTATTTCTGAGTGCACTAGGTTCTTATCAATGTTTTCTAAGTGGTTAGCTTGTTTCTGTTGAGGACACCACCCTGCTGCTACTATGTGCATGTTGATTTATTGGTTGTTATCATGTTTCTTCACACGCTTTAAATTCTCTGCGGGGAAAAAAAACATCATTCATGTTTTGAGTGACCATCTACTGTTGCTTCCTTTAATTGTAAGGATTATGATCCAAAATGAGACCATCATTATGTAATGTTTATATACAAAAAGTATAGTTTTCATGCTACAGTATGATTGTCTGCTGATGACAGATGGTGTTTGTCTAAATTCTGCTCTGGACAGTACTACATCTGTGATCTAAGGGTGAAAAAAATAAGCGTTTATGTGCTTGCAAAACATATATTATTTAAATTTTTAGCCAAAGAATGATTTCTGCCTCTGTCTGCTCTGCTTCAGCTTTCCACTCAACATAAATAAGGTTTTCTTTTATGTAAAGCTTGTGAATGCCCCCTGCTGGACGTAGCCTATAACTGTAAGCTATAAAAAGACAGTTTGTGTTTTTTTTTTATTTATGACACTAATTTGAAAAATATTTTAATGTTTAATGAATGAATGTATATTGATTGCATTTAACTGTCCAATGGCAACAATAACTAAACATAACTTTAGTATATGTTATTAAAATTGGCTTCTAGTAGCAGAGGCTCAGAGTTTTTCTTATTGCTAATGCATGATGCAGTGTGTATTATGTGACACAATCTCAGAATTATAAATGTATTAAAGTGGTCATTAGGCTACTTAACTGACACATCATTATATTGTATTACATATATTACATAGGGGGCTTTTGAGGAACAATGCAGAATCTTCAGCACAAACTGGGCATCTGTTCTGGTGCTGCAGCAGCGTGAAGCCAATTAAAGTGGTTAAAAGACAGAAGGTTTTGGCCTATGAAGGGTGCAATAAATAACCAAACTGTTGACAGAAAGTGGTCTGGTGAGTATCACAAATATAATGAGGTTATTGCTGCCTGCTGTGTTCATATGATCAGTTTGATGGGTTTTTTTCTGACCTCCCCCCCTCTGATGTTGGCAACATATTTGCATACCAAGTGTGCACAGTCTTGAGCACAGGAAGGAGAAAAGGCCTTGCAGGTGACCACCTTGGCGTCCGTCCCTGATTGTCTGTTTAATTCATTCATCCACAATAGACTCAAAAATGCATTCACAACAAAGAATGCAGTAGCTCTGAACACATGAGTATGCAGATGCTGGGGCAGATAAAGACACATAGAGCTCAGCTGCCTGGCACAGACATACCACACTGACAGACACTTAGATTGTTCCTGACCATTGACTTCTCCCTGCTGCACGCTCTGATTTCATAGTAGGAAATATGAGATGGGTCCAGGAAAGGGTTCACGGCTGGGGCAAGGAGCCACTCCATACAGTAGGCCTTCATATCTCACAGTCACCCTGGGCACTCTTCCCTGACACAGCTTTCAGCCGCTGCCTTGTCTGAAGACCCCTGTTCTCAACCCCAGGATTGGTACATTCCAGCTGGGCACAGAACCTGGGTGGTCCCCCTCACCCTGCTATAAGGAACTGAAAGGAGGAAGAGACAGAAAAATGCAGCAAAGGCCTTTGCCCAGGAGGAGCACAATGTGAACGTTGATGATGGCGGCTTGGATGTGATACTTACCTGCCCCTGACCCTACACTGCTGTCATAGCACACATTACCATGTGAAGATCTGACCAACAGACAGGAAAAGCTGCCCCACTGTCACTGAGATGGGGCGATGAGTCCTGAGGAAGGGCTGACCTGGTCCTGACTCAAATTCTCCCATCTTATACAACTGCCACCAGTCCCATCTCACACACTGCATGTTGACAGTCATTTATTGATCATTGGCAGGTTGTCCCGCATACACACAGAGAATAAATATAGATTCACTCAACAGTTATTTACATTACTGTTATAATCTCCGTAAGCATTCAAATACATAGTGAGGGATCTGAAGTGTCATGCGTTTGTCTTAGCAGAGGTTGCACAGTAATAATCTTGGACAATATTCAATGACTTCAGTTACAGTTTGTGGTACATTTGCATTCCCATTGATACCTTCATTATTGGTCTAAAAGTCTCAGGAGGTGAAGTATGAGTCCTGCATTGAGTAGAGGCGGTCTATGGGAGTGAGCAGAGAGGAGTCACTGAGGTGAAGGCAGTCGCTGTCTGTCATGTGGCACACAGGATCACTGTCCACATCAGCATACAGGCCTTTAAAACCTATTACATACAGAAACCACAGTTGAAAAGCTGCTTGTGAAAAATCTGTGTGCACATAAGCCTGTCACAACACATTTTGAAGTGCAATATATTGCTACAGAAAACATCACAGAAGATGTTTATATTGAAACTACTTGATAAACGAAGGCACTACTGAACAGTTCTTTAAGTATATAGTATCATTAAAAAACAAACAACATATAAATAGACGAATGACACTGTTGTTAGTTAGTATCTGTAATGAGTCATAGAGGTTACTTATTCAACCATCTGCAGCTCAAATCTTGTATTCTACTAGACTTTAAAAAAATATATATATATAATAATAAAATAAAACAACCCCAAAAGTATAGTTCTGATCATTTTTTTGAACAATAAGTTGATGTCATTATTACTGTTATAGGTCTATGTGCATAAATATATATATATATATATATATATATATATATATATATATATATATATATATATATATATATATATATATATATATTTTTTTTTTTTTTTTTTTTGTTAAAAACAGCTTATATATTTTGTGTGTTCCTGTTAGGCTGTTAAGCTAGATAAATAAACCGCATTGTTAAAAAATAGCCAATTACACCTAAAACCTTTACTAATGTTTACCATAAGGGTGCATGTGGTCCCCAGGCATCTGAGGAGGAGTCAGTCCCTGTCTGAAGGGGTCCAAGTCGAAGTCAGGCTGCTCCAGAGAGGTGAGCCCCATCTGCTGCTGTTGCTGCTGCATGTGGGAGCAGGAGGACAGCTGCTCTATCTCACTCAGGCCACCACAAGAGGGCACTGTGGTGCGGTGGAAATACAAGAGGAGGTAAGGCCTTTTGTCTATGAACTTCGGTGAAACTGAATTGAATGCATGTGAATGAAAGTACTACAGAATTCTTACTTTTAGGAAAATATTAAACAGGACAAAATATGATGGCGCATTGTGGATTGTCACTGCATTGCATTAGGCATCACCATTAGTGGGTCTCATCAAAATTGTAACTAGTACCTAAATACGAGATACTCACTTGAAATATCAATACTGGGTGAAAAACACCAAACCTTTTTTTGAATTGTTTCAAAACAATATAAAAATTAAAAGACCAGGGTAATATTAAAAAAGAACTACATTGTGTTATTAAAATTGGTAATAAGCCTTTTTTATTCCTTAGTATCAAAATTGACATTGAAATTTTAGTATTGTGACAGTGCTTTTCTTAAAACAAACGAACAAAATGTGAGATAATTATTTTCAAAATCAGCAGTAATCTTGGGCACTTGAATACTTCATCATAGTAATTATGTGTGTCAATACCAACCATGTAATAATCAATAATAAACTACTTAATAAGTTAATATTAGTTTTATTACCAATATATTACCTGTATGCTGTTTGGGTTGTTCATGTGGCTCTTGACTTTGCTGCTGCTGCTCCTGTTGCTGTTGCTGCCGTCTGGCAAGTTTCTTCATCTATAACAACATGAGCCAAAATTAAAGAGCGCATACCAACCAACCCACTGTGGGCTCCAAGCCACCCAGCCCGCCTCGTCATAGGAGCATGTTCACTCAGATGAAAAGTATTAAAAAGAGCAACCACACACAAGCCCACTTTGTGAGGAAATATGGGTTTAATCTCCAGGGATCTCTAAGGCAGATGTCATCAGTTTCCTGTTTGAGCAGATAACTGGCCTGATTTGTACCCTGGCATACTGACACAGTGGAGAAAGAGCCCTCTTATCTAAGGCTGAATGTAAGTTTATAGTTGGCAAAATAACCACAAGGACATTTTTTTATGTTAATTATACAATTCTTTAAAAGTACATATTGGTTTGTTTATCATAATGGGATGGTTGAATTTCCAGTTGAATAAAAAGAGTGGGATTTGAAAGATGCAGTGGGATTTACTGTAAAATATCCAGTGAAAAATCAACAAATAAATACACAGTCTTAGATTAATTACATGTAGACCTGTCCAATAACCAGTTCTGCTTTTATCTAGTATTAAAATTTACTATATACAGTAACAGCACATTTGTGTTAAAATGTTCATATAGGCCTAGTGTTATAAATTGAAATGGAGGAAAAAATAAATAAATTATGATAATAAATAGTGATAATTTTGTCTTTTGAACAAAAGACATTGTGTGCATGTATGCGTGTGTGTGTGTTTGCTTATTCTTACTTTGGCTCTTTGGTTTTGGAACCAGACCTGCACCACGCGCACACTCAAGCCGGTCTCTGCTGCCAACGTCTCTCTTACCTTGGATTAAAATACAGGAAGGAGACATAAAAAACTGAGATAGAGGACAACTTAAGGTGAACAAAAGAGCGCATGTGTATATAGTATGTGAACTGTGCTGTTTTATATTCAACTAAATGACAAATGTTATGAATTTAGTTCATACAAATTCTCTTACCTTCCGACATGGCTTAGAAGAGACTTCGAATGAGGCTTTAAACGTGCGCCTCTGCTGAGTGGTTAAAATGGTGCGAGGTCTTTTGGGGCGTTTGCTCTCAGAGTCATCAGATCTGATTGTCCGGTTTCTTTCAAGTTCATCGTCTTCATCTTCCTCATCTTCACTTTTACCTATGTACGAAAAGTGAAAATAAATATTCACTAAAAAGATAATTTTAGGCAGAACAAATGTATTTATAGATGTGGTTGTTGTTCATTAAATATGTGAATTAGAAACATGCTAAACTGAATTATTTGAATAAATAAATCAACTCATTTCTACAGCCCTTAAACCTTACCTTTGTGTAATATTATGTTCAAACTAAATGTCGTAGACTAACAAACAGAAAGAGATACATACTTGTGTCAGAGGATGTGGGGCTGACCAGGCCCTGGTGGTAGTGGTCTCTGGAGCACATGAGCTGTCCCGCTCTGAGCACACAGTGGTCTCCTGTCTGCAGGCGGCAGGAGCACACGCTGCAAGTGAAGCAGTGCAGGTGAAACACTGAGGAGCCTGCGTGCATCACCAGCTCTGAGGAGGAAAGGGGCTCTGAGCAGCCTCCACAACGTACCGCAAACAGCCTGGAACACAGGGACCACAGAGTAAATACAGCAGCTTTTGTTTACAGAGGGACAAGCACCACTTACACATGATAGAGGTCCTGCAGAGAAAATCTGCTTTACTTGAGGAATGTTGCAGAGTTTGTCTGTCACTCGAAAACCTGCCTGTGTCCCCCACATCCTCCCACTCAGACGCATACTCTCGCTGTGGCGGGTGTGCGTCTTAGCGCCTGGCAACACAGCCCTGGTTTAGGCTGAGAGACTGTTGCCGTGGCTGCGGCTGCCTGTCCGGGGCGTGCTCCTGGGGAGGCAGAGAAAGGCACTCTGCAGGCCATGGCTCCAGGACGAGGGGGGAACCAGCTCTCCTGATGGGACAGACCCAGATGCCGCTCACAGGAATTATCCGCAGAATTATCTTTAAGACTGCTTAACCAGAGCGGAACAAAGGCCAAGCCAGCCCCCGAGCAGCGGGACCATTGTCCGCTGTCCGGCACTGCCACATTTCAGTTCTGTCCTCCTGATGTAGCATCATCATTGTAGATAGTTTATCTCCCAGAAGGACTGGGTCAAACACCAGTCACACACAGGTATGAAAAAGTGACTGACCCTCTACTGGTTTATTTTCAGATAAAACACTTCCACCATGCTGTTTCTAATAATAATTTATTTTTAACTTTCTCCTCTGTTTTCTTTTTGTTATAAACCTAAACTCAACCTCTTATTTTAATCAAGACAGGGCTATTCATCTCTCTTAATGATAAATCAGTCGAAACTACAAGTGAAAGATCTCTATTATGTTTTCATGCTTGTTTTGTTTGTTTGTTTACCAGATTCAATAGCAGTGATTAATCTGGTAAACACAGGTTGAGTTGTTCAAAAGTCGTGGTCAGCTACATCCTGAATCCACACATTGCTCAGAGCTCTTTCCGTTGCCGTGGTGTTTCTGGGGAGACTTAAACCATGGGTCAGTCTGGCTTCTTGACCCATCCAAGCCGTCTAGCCCACAGCAATTGTATGTGCTTTAATATGGAAAGCATACCATCTGAAGTATGCAAATTCCTAAGGAGACTGAAGGTGCATCAATACAAGATCTCAATGAGCGTGTGTCAGAGGAATAATCCAAATGTTTCAGTGTTCCCATGATACAGCACTTATTTCAAGATGATGGTAATCTATAATGACAACAGACTACAAAGTGTTTGCATTAAAAGTTGCACAAGCATTCAGGTTTTCGAGAAATGCTTTTCCATTATACTCCCATCCACTAGTTTGTGTTATTATATTCTGGCACAGGACTTTTAAGCCATGTTAATGCATGGGTAAGACTATCTTGGACAATTATGGAGGAGCTTGAAGTGTTTAATATTTCAAAGTTTCCGTCTACATGTTTGGCCCAGAGGCTTTGTCTGAAGAGCGGGAACACTCAGTCACCCTGGCTTTCGACACGGTAATTAGTGACATAATTACTGCATAATAACAGTCAGCAAATATGCCTCTCTCTGCACTGACCAAGCCTTAGACCCTGATGAAGTATGACAAAGAGTAAGGCCTAGTGCAATGCAAGCTCACGATGTTTTGTTGTTTTATTTTGACTTGAGCTGACCTTTGGTTGCTGCTGGTGGAGTGGACAAACCCAGGGCAGATCCTGTTTCTGGATCAGGTTCACCTGGTCCGGAGCTCCACACTGTATCAGATAGAGATCAGCAGGTCAAGTGCAACGTCCATCAGGGGCTGCTAATCTGAGGACACATCTGATGTCCACTCAACTGAACTCTTTGTCCAATATACATCTGCAGACCAGAGGCAACCCAAGTAAAACCAGAATGGAAAAAAACATCCATAAGAGCATCTGCAAAGGCAGACCCCAGGGCCTCTCCGGATACAATATATAATACTGATTTTACACCCAGGGGTCTACAGTGGAGCTGTTGATAATGTTTGGTCTTAGTATAGAAAGTAGCCCCAAACATATATTGCAATGTGACGGAAAGGGCATCTGATTCGAAATTGTGCCAAACCATAGATCACAGACTCAATGCGGTGACCAATGACAAAAAAAGCACCAGGCATCTTTTATTTAATGTGTTATTTATTGATTAACTTGAACTATTTATTGATTAACATAATTTATTATATTTTTATAATATAATTTACTTATATTTACATATAAGTAATTTAAGTATGTATTTATTTTATGTACATCCTATACCATTCAATTATTTACACATTTGTCTCAATTGTAATTAATAATTGCTTAATGATAATAACAAGATTCTATTTTTCTGAGCGGCAAACAAAGTGCTTTTGGGTGGTGAAGCTTAGGCACTGCCAGTGGGACAGGGGCACAGTGGAGACCTCTGGGAAGGACTTTGGCACTCTGCCTCTTGCTAATTGGTCAGGTCAGATATCTCATGGTTGAATGAGTGTCGTCCCATTGCTCGACTCTGAGGCAAGGGTGCTTTTCCAGATGCCACAGCACATGAGTGTACCCAAAATAATTCTACCAGGTCCTGCTGGGTCCACTTTGTTTGGATTTTATGTGTACATTTGATCATTCAAATTACTTGAACAACTCTAGTAACTCTTGTATGACTTATGTCATAAGTGTCAATGATAATAACTCAATGCACTAATTAACATTTTTTAATTAAATTATTTAATTATTGTTGAAAGACAAGAGCGGGATCTTGAGCTGCTAGACATTAGGTCTTGGTGCCAGTCTATGTGTGATCCTGTTTAGTGGATGAGATATTAAGCAGGTAACACTGGACCGGGCCATACACAGTTATAAAGGGGGGGCACCTCTTCGATCAGACCATATGCTGTCCCCAGCTTGCAGTTGCCACGCCAATGGGCCTCCAAGTTTTAACACATTTTGACAACGTGTCAGTTGTGCCTTTCTCCTGGTGTGTGTGAAGGTGGTCAAAGATTTTTTTTATATATACAGTTTGTTGATGTGCGTGGATATAAATGAAGCAATGCTGTTTTCACATTTATGCTCTTCAGTCACTCCTCTCTCTTCCAGTTACCTTGTTTTTTTTATTAGAGCTTTGTGCCAAAGTTGCCTTTACCCAAACAAAGCGTGTTGATTTCTGAGTAGTCATCTATGTATGTAGTCTACTGAGAACTAAAAGCTAAGAAAACATTACTGCCTTGTGCAAGTATACAGCTATGCCATAAACTCATTTTTCTTCAAGGTCAAATCTGCAAAGGTTCTTACAGCAAATGCAAAATTACTATAATAGCATGATAACTCTGACCTTAACCTGAAAAAGCCTACTTGCAATAGTGATGCACATTGAGAAAAGGGTGTGTGTTTACATCCATTGTGTAAAATTTTTACAAATGCAATTTGAAAATATTTTAGACCGCAGTGCTGGAAAGTAAAATATCCACGTTTTAAATTAATCCTAGTTGATGAATGGATTCTGTTTCCTTATACTGTAAGAATGAAGAATTTTAATTAGGCTATAACAAATGTATTTGGGTGTTTAAATAGTAACTTGTAAAAATATGTTTTGTGTATGTGTCAAATAAAATGCAAAGGCTACTCACAGTGCGTAATCCTTTTTGCAGTAGAGTTTGCGGTCACGTAAGAAGCAGGAGTGGGTCAGTGTGTCTCCACACGCCGTGCACCGTACACAGCGCTCGTGCCACAGGCCATCGGTGACTCTGAGGAGATACCGGTCTGTGATGGCTCTGTGACAGCCTGCACACACTGCCTTCTCTGTCATGGCTGCAAATAATGAGAACACAAAGAAAATAATACAAATTATGCGACAAATGTTGTTCCCCTGGGCCAGACAAAGTGCACAAAACGTGCAGGGCATGCAACTTTGAACGAAAACTCCAAATCCGAATAAAAATATTTTGTTAAATAATTAATAGATACATAATACTAGTTAAAAGGAATTCTGCTCCATGAATTCACGCAAGTAGGGATCATACCCCAAATTTTTGGTAAAAATGTCAATAACCTTAATTAGCCTACTGCATAAATTAGCCTTTAAAATCAGCTAATAAACGAACCTCCAGAAGTCCCCGTGCAGACTCGCGGTAGTTCCTCTGGTTTTATTTAGAACATCTTCTTCTCTGAAAGTTTGTGCAACGCATCAAAGTCCCGCTCTGACCGCTGACCGAAGCTCGGCCTGATTCTCTGTTGTGAGAGCAGCTCAGATGAGTTGTGGCAGGAACAGAGGCAGGTCCGTGCAGGTGCAGGTGCCACTGGCTACTTCCTCACACTGCGCTGGTGCGCTCGGCCTTTGTCTAAGCGCCAGCGTGTCTCTGTTGTCTCTCTCTCCAAGCGTCATGTGAGAAAGTTGGAGACGAAAAAAAATAAAAATAATAAAACTAAACTAAAGTGTATGGACGACTTAAAAATGTATAACTAAGTGAGGAGTGTTTTCAAACTATTCACAGAGGACTGTGACTAAAGAAATGTTTTTGAACAGCATGTCATTAAGCCAGTCAGAAACGTTTTATATTTGAACCTATTAATTTGTGCTATAGCAGTCTGTGTAGCAGATTTGTGTTGTTTACAAATCGTTCGTTTCAATGTAGTTCCCATTTATGATAGGAAATATAATTAGGCCTACATAAAAAAAGAAAAAAAGAAAATGCAATTTATGCGCCTCAGGGATTAGTAAACTATCTCAGCGGCACCGTTATAGTGCAGCGACACCTAGTGGCCAGAAGAACACCTACAGGATAAAACGTTTCAAATGTCGATTATTGTTGTCATTTGCGACTCAGTTGCTTAATTTAATTAAAGCATCAAACACTTGGTATTAAGATTTCCTTTCACCTATGTTTCAAGGTATATCAACAATTTGCAACAAAGGCACAGGACACATATTTTAACAATTCAAATAACTTTATTTTGTAGGAATTCACAGATATGGTTTATAAATGGAAGGATGGTTCCCATTTTATACAATTTAATACAGTAAAATATTATTTTCAAATTGCATTGGATTGCTTTGAAACCTGACATTATCTATTTACAACTCAATCTGTTAAAAAGACTGTGACAGTGTAGTTGATCCTCTCTTATGACTTACCCAATCCTCATAATACTTTATTCAAGTTTAATTACAGTTGTCTTGCATGGTACAAAATATGCTGCTTTACAGTTTAGATCAAGTCTTTTATGCATCTTCTTCTCACTGTCAGTAAAGGGGTATGTACAGGGGCCAGGGGAGGCTGGTGTCATGTTATCTGGTGTGGCGCCTCAAGCATCTCCATCAGGAACGTGTCAATAGGTGTGTCGCCGATCAGTTTAAAGAAAAACAAATGTTCCAGACATTTAAGGCCAATAGACCGTAGAGCTGGGAGGCGCAAGAGGAGTTTTGCAAATCTGAAAAGACACACAATAACTGTAATATAAAGTGTATGATGTAGAACACATGTAGGATAGAAACACAAATGACCCACCTGCCTGGCTGGTCTGGATATTTTTGTTTTGTATATGACTCTAATGAAGCATACACTTTTTCCCTCAGTGCTTCTACTTCAGATGGATTTGAAAGACCCTTTGCATCTGTAGTTATGAAAAGTTTTGATTAAAACATGATTAATTGCAAACAGCAATGTTAGATTCTGTGCTTAAAGAAATAAAGTTCAGTAAAAGGAAAGTTTAATAAAAGGATTATCACATACCTGGATTAAAGAGAACAATCGCTCGTAGACATCCTAGCTCTGTTTTATCCATCTGCATGTCTTTCATTTTAGAAACTAACTCTGTTAAAACTCTGTAAACAAAATACCCAGACTGTATTAATCAATGAATATGTTTTTGATTGCAACAAAAACTAAACATACAGAAGTTTATTTGGTAGGCTATGCATACCTGTCAAAAATAGAACCGACCCCCGCACTGTGGGCACTGCTTCTGTGCACATGGAGCCCTGTGGCCAAAAGTATGCCGTCTTTCACTGTGACCGAGCGATGCGAAAAAGATGCTATAAGGAGCTCGTTCCAGCCTAAGGGTAAAAAATACAGAATCTTAATACAATGCACATTATTAGACCAGCCATGTGTGTGGGATGTGTACCCGCTAGTGTTCTCACATTACTAACATTTCAATACTAAGGCACAGGCTAGACACCAACTTTAATATCACAGTAATAAAAAATGTTATTTGTTTTTAGGCAATGTATTTTCCATCAAACAAATGTACTTTCTTTAATATTGCCATGTGATCTTATCTAGTAAAATACAATGTGGTAAAATATATATAAATCCTATCTAGGAAATGCCCAAAACTGTCCTACTTATGTGATTGTTTTTCAGTATCAATAATTTTTCAAGTGAGCATTTAGTTTGATATTAATTGATACTAAAACTAATATCAATTAGTACGCTTGTATAAATTTTGTACCTGCTCGAAGTAAGATGACTTGATCATCCAGCGGGAGTTCAGAGAAGTGCGGTATCCTCTTGGCCCACTCGACCAAAGTGAAGAGCTGCTTATCTGCTGCTTGGCAAATATTTGTGACAGGGTCATTGGTCTGGAGACACACAAACAAACACAACATATTTTAGTCACTTGTCACTAATTATAAAGAACACAGTGCATTTGACTGTAAGCATCAAAACTCAAATACTGATGCAGTGTGTAGTTTTACCGAGTTGCCTGGGCCTCCTTCAGAGTATGGCTCTGTTTTGGGCTCCACAGCCAGCTCTGCGTCCAAGATCTTGTCCACAGGCATTTCCTCATTGAAACAGCTCGTAGACTCCACCTCATTGTCCCCTCGCTCTTTCCCGCGCTGCCTCTCCTCCTGCACAGCTGCACATCAATCAAAAGACTGTTAGGAGGTTTGGCTGGATATTATAGCTATCTTTACTTTACTTGCTTACTTATAGACAATACAATAAAAATACTATCAAATACCCCAAAACAACCCAAATTGTGTAGAAAGAAAATGCATGTTGACATTCATATGCAAACTGTATTCCAAAACCACAATAGTAGCATTACTTAAATCTGAATAATTTTATTACAAGTACAGAAGTGTGGCAAATATTTCCTATTTCTTGAGTTAAGTATTGAAATATAAAGGGTCCCTTCTGTACCTAACTTGGTTCTTTAGGGGCCCAATTGCTGGATGTAACTATATTTTATTTAAATAATGTTTTTGTAATTTTTTATTAAACATTTCTTTCTGTCAAGGCAAAATCCCCAAAAAGTAGACCTCAATACATACTGCACACACCTTCTCTCTTCATCCCCATCGCCAGGCACTTCTGGTAGCGACAGTACTGGCAGCGGTTTCGCTGGCGTTTGTCAATGAGGCACTCCTTGTTGTCTCGACAGGTGTAGGTCAGGTCTTTGCGAACTGTTCTTTTGAAGAAGCCCTTACATCCCTCACAGCTGTATACACCGTAGTGTTTCCCTAAAACATAACAAGAGACTTCATCATCTTTGATGCTGTCATGAATTTTATAAACTTTGTATTATGGTAAAAACAAATGCATTTAAAAAGCCTAAAATAACTCACATAATCATATAATTGTCATTATCATTATATCACAAGTATTACAAACATATAATATGTGTTTCAATATTATAGAATAAATTTCGCCACTATTCCCATTTATATAAAGGTAGAATTGGAATTTTGTATGTTTCAAATGTTATCAAAGAAAATAAAATATAAAAGCTCAAATTGTGTTATAACCATTCTAATTAGCCTAAGGCGGTATTGCCCAGACTTTACCTGAGGAGCGATCTCCACAGATGGCGCAGATATGCTTGGACATGCCTCCAGGACTCGTGCACTGATAGTTGATGTTACCAAGGTTTTGAAGCCCTGGTGGAGGCTTGATGTCCTCTGAGCTGCTAACACTGTTCATGGAGTTCATCTGAGGATGACAGGAAGGAAGAAATGATGACCAAAGCACTGAACTTAAGTGAACTGAAGAGGAAACAAAAGCCAAGGAAGGAGACCTAGTCCGAGGTCTCATGACACTCTCACTTCCTTAATTTTGTCATGTTGTTGTCTTCCGCTCCGTCAGTATCTCTGTTTGTGTCCCCTCCCACACATTTTTTTCTCAGAGCTTCATATGCCTTGCGAATGGGCTGGGCTGAGGCTAATAGCTGAAACTTGTCACACAGGTTTTCATGTTTGTTGTCAGGAAGAGGCATAAGAGGGCAGTCACGAGGGAACTCACTTTAGTTTCAACTGCAGCAGATGGCGCTGTTGAACAGGCTTTATAGATGAACTTACCAACGGGGGTGACAGCACTGCTTAACATACAGAATACATGCTGAATATAAACAAAATCAATTATTCTTAAGTTTCCTCCTAATCAGCAACAAATAAATAAATACAATAAAATAAAAACTATAGGCAATATACACTAAAGTACAGAAGTGATATGATTCCCTTTAGCTTAGCTGCCAACACATTAACACACATCTCAAGTCAAGACAAACAAAAAGACCTTCAAGAGGCTCCAATGAGTCACTGAGGTGTGAATGACCCACTGAGGTCAAAACAACTGGGGCACCCCACTATTTATTTTAATTAACAAACCATTGTGTCTGAAAGATGAAATATGTCAAAACTAAGCAACAAGTGTGTTTTTCTCTGATATTTATCCTTAAGGCCTGCTTTTGGCATCATTCTGACATCTTTTGACCTCAGATAAAAGCTTACTTCAATGCATGCACATGTTATTCATTTGTTAGGCTGTTTATGTGCAAACATCTGCACTCCAGCTGCAAAACAACAGGCATGACCTACATATGGTCCCACGTCCTATATATTTGATGCACAGCGACATATATGGCATCCTCCTTCCAGTCACCTCAGGCATTTTCTATCACTTATTTATGATGTGCACTCTCTTTTGAATATCGAGCCGAACCAAGGGCCTTTACTATGGCCTAACACCACCAGACAGTTTTATAAGACAGTGCTCCCCATCCCTCTAAAGGCTTCATGCTTCACTTCAGGGGCAAAGCAGTCACACTCAAATGAGCATTCGGCCCATGTTTACTCTGTTGTTGAGTCAATGGAGAAGCCTCATACTCCACAGTGCACTTTGTTTCACTGTGATTCGTTATTACAGTGGATGAAGGCTGCTGATTGAAAACACATACATTACATTACATCACGCAGTAATGAGCTACAAGCGCCATCTATGGATTATTGATGCATCATACATTCTTTACATCATGTCTTGTATGTAGTGTATATGGGAATGCTAAAGGGTTCGTGTAACATGCATGTCTGTTATAAAGGTGGAAAAGTAGTCTTGTTATACGGGCAACTCAAAATCTGCAGTCATGTGAAATTACTCATGCTAATCTTTAAAAGATACTGCCACAATGGACCATTACAACAATTTCCACTACAGTTACCACAACTGACTTTATAATGCCAGCACTACTACTTGGATTACTTCTGTCAGTGCTCAAGTATTCATAAACACAGATATTCTTGTTAGGTAAGCACTGAAATGGATAAAAGAGTACAGAAACACTTGCCCCATGGAGGAGCTCTCATTGACCCTGAGGGCACAATCTATAATCTCATGGGCGCAATGTATGTTATCATCTGCAGTGGAGCCCAGTGGCACTGGTCTGAATCCAGCCTTTGACACTCTTGTGGGTGTCAGTTTGTCTATAGGATCATCACTGCACCAACCCCTCTGGGGTAAACAGGATTTTAAACCACACTTAAAAAGCCATCTCCAGCCACAGCAAAAGATCGTCAAAGTCCACTGCTCCTGGCCACTGTTTTCAACAAAGGTTTTACACAAAAGACAAGCACAAACCCTTTTCCTAACATTAACCATTATATACTTGTGCCTAATCTTAAGCATACACAGTGCCTATGGCATCTCACACAGGCTACATAATATGCATATGAAATTTGTATTCATGCCATGGAAGGCTACATGTTGGCAGTTTAATATGTGCTGTGTTTGTGACATGTTTCTAATTTCATCTATTTCTTCTATTTAATAGAGCAGTGACCGCACAATGTTAATTTCACATTAGGAACTTTTAAAATGTATTGTAAATTAGTTTCTGAAGTGCAAAAAATTTAAATGAGCTTTATCATCTTTAATTACATTTAATAGCAAACTAAAATAACAACTACTATGAAGTGTAATTGAAGTGCTTATAAAGAATAAGTTTATGAAAAGGCAAACAGGCAAGGCAAAAATATTTAGATGTTAACTAAATATGTATTCTGTGTCACAAGATAACACTCTTAGATTTTAACACCATAAAGTAAGAATGCATAAAACACAATGATTTGTAAGAACAGCATAATCTAATAAACAAACCAAAGAAAATCAATTATAACTGCACTTATGTTCAGGGCCCCATTAAGGGGATAATGGTCGTGCATGTGAGCTTTAGCACTGCTCAGGGATGACCTTTAAGTGAGAAGTTTAAAGGTCATCAGAAGGATAGGAGACGAAGGGGAACGCCATCGCATGTTACACATCGGATATGTCTAACCTTCATCTCGTGCCCACAGTTAAAGATTCCAAAACTCAACCACATGATCAAGATAGAGTTAGGCTTTCATTTTATTTATATTTTATATCTCGGATCAAAAGACTGTAAAAATCACTGAATATGATTCCTTCCATATTTTCCAGAACATATCTTGTTTGCCATTTCGTTCATAAGTCAATTTTTTTTTTTTTTTCTTAATTTATTTATATATTTTTGAATGTATTTGTTATGGGTGAGTGTTTGAGTGTGTGCGTTTATGTGTATGTATGTAAATTTATGTCATTTGTATATATTAATGTAATTATGTTATTTTATTTTTATTATTATTTTCTGGTCAATATTATTATCATTATTATCATTATTATTTATTATTATTTTTTTTTTTTCCTTTTTCTTTTCAGCGTCTGTTAAGGGTGGGAGTGGGTGTGGGGAGGTTGAATTGAGGTTTGGGAATGGGGAGGAGGGGGTTTAAATGTGGCATTTGTACACTTGTATATTTTGTGGCATTTTTGTGGGGCCGTAAGACCACAATATAAAAATAAATAAATAAATCAAAAATTAAATAAAATATATATGAAAAAAAAGAATATGATTCCTTCATTTAACCCATACAATTGCTATTTTTTAAAAACAGAGTTTGCATTATTACCATTACTGCTGGTAGATTTTTGTTATTAATATTATATTACCACTACTAATATAACTAGTAGCTAGTTTAAGAACTACTCACTTAACCACAAAGTATTCAACATGTGAACACAGTCAACATAGCCAATGATTTTCCTGTACTAATAGAAATTACATAAATTAGTTTGTTGAGGCAAAAGATACACCATTGACAGCTGGTACCCACTCCACAGCCATTGTCATTGCTTTGTGTAATTTCTAGTGTGTGGGAGTAATTTCTTTCTGTGCTTTTCTCACCTGTGGGCTACTGAGTTGTCCGAAGTTCATGTTGGAGGGAGAGCCCAGAGATGACGTGATGACAGGGTATGGAGAAGCCAGGCCGTTCATGGGGGACCCTAGTGTGGACATTGGGGATGGAAGGGGCCTGGAGGTACTGATGACTGATGGGTGGCCCACCATGCCACCCATTGGAGGGCCATGAGGGTGGGCACTCATAGGCCCTGAAGAGTCTGAAAGAAGAACAACAAGAACTGTTATAGATAAATGTTATATATGCTTGTTTGGATATATAAAGCTGTCACCTTTAAAATCTGAATTCAACACATTATTCACATCACTGCTACCATTACTCATATAACTTTTGATACCTGGCTGCTACAATTTATTTAATGCTGCTGCTACCATAACAGCTACTTTAGTCTATTACATCTGCTTGTTTAGAGAGTTTAACTGAGTGAAGACATTCAATATATGGGTTGAATGCGACAGTGTAAATGTATATCTACAAAGGCGGATGTATCTGAAAACATGGGATGGGCCAACAATACATTATGACTTTCCACAGTGAGTGTTGTGTAAATATCCATAGACTACTGTCACAGACTGCTGACTGTGTTTTGCATCTATTGATGTAAACTGACAGGTTGGCATTTACATAGACGACCTACTTAGAAAAGCTGTCATTCAAGTGATGAAAGGGCATGCTGAGTAATATCATGGATGTGCCGAAGCCTTGAGCATTTTCATTCATCATTAAGACAAATGTCAGCAGTATACACAGTATTCTCACAGGTAGGGAATAACATAAACCAATTTAAGTACAGTACAAATAATTAGCCAATGAATGCAAGAAAGTTGTAGTTCTAGACTAGTTTCTAAGTTTCCACGCTTGCTTTATCATAAACAAAACATGCACATTACACCTTACATGCACATTGATGATCAACATAATTTTGCTTATTTTTTCAGATTATTTAAGTAATAGCAATACATTCTGCTTCCACTTCTCTTTTTGATTGATTGATTGATACATATAGGCACTACTGATCAAAATTAAAGTTCAAACATTACGTCAAGAGAGACAGAGAAATTGATTGCATTAAAACGAACACAACAAGGTTTATCATTACCCAAATGCATCTTAACATGCATGCATAGTTATGATAAGTCACTTTTATGTCTGACTCCTGTATGTGAGTGTGAACATGTGGACTATGGCAAGGGGCATCTCTCAGCCTTAGTGCTTTTCAGTCACAAAGTTGAACAGAGGCTATAGAGCGCCAACACCAGACAGCAAGGCATAGTCAGTCTTCCATTAATCATCTGTGTGAAAGGTGTTCTGAATACATACAAGTTTGCCTCTGTATCACTTTCAAACCATCTCCAGTGAGTGATGCAGATAATGCAGCATCCTTCCTCTCACACTGCTCTGAAGAACCCTGCTGATGTGGCACAATCAGAAACGATGAGTTGAATTTTTCTAAAAATAGAAACAGCAATAACCAATATTTTACTGATCAGTTACCAAGACTTGCTCTTGGCTATATATTAAGTTAACTCAAAACAAAACCTGAAGCTTTTCATATGTAATTGTTTTTGCAAATTGTTTGTAAAATATTTAACCCACCAATGACCCACTGTATTCAAACTTACACAGAGGGCTGAAGTTAACCGACTATTTTTATACATATATATGGTTATTATAGGTATAATTATCAGCTGTCTCAGTAATCAAATAATTGTTATCTGCTCTATGCATACACAGACTCCAAAACATGCCATGTGCTGAGAAAAAAGATTAAATATTTATTTTGTCAATAAATATACTATACTAGAATGCTAACTTTATCAAATTAAATTGCCTTTTGCAATCCAAAATACTAATTGCTAT